GAGGGGCGCAGAGAAACACGCAGGGACACGGGCAGGCGAAGGGACGCAGCGGAGACTATGAGAACCCCTTTGCCGTTGATGGAGGAACGCGTTTCATGCCATGGCTCACAGATAAGGCAACGCGAGGGGCGCTCTAGTATCGAGGATGGTGGTGAGTAGCATGTGAAAGGGGCAAGTGCTAGAGCATCGACTTCATTCGAGAGTCGGGTAAGAGGCAAGTGCATTGGGGGTGACTTACGAGCAGGCAGTTGCTGCAGCAGGGCTCGTCTGGGGCTGCCACCTGCAGTTTAAGAGGCCGGCCGTTGGGACGGGCGTAAACGGAACGGGAGATACAGACGACGGGGAGCGTGGGTGAGAAACAAGAAAGAAAAGGCTTTTGAAAACGTGGGTTTCTAGCGGCAAAAATACCAGAGATGCACCTCTAAGACATCTGTAAAAGCGTTAATCCACGGGGTAAGACAACGGAGTAACTGCGACAGAAGCAACCGAACGGCGGCGCACCTGCGAGGGCCACGGGCGGCGCCGCGGAGAGAATCAGGAGCAGCACGAGCACCGCCCATGATGAGCCGAGCCGTAAACGCAATCGTGTCGGCGCGGGTCCGCGAGTTGGTTGACGGGATGATGCTGCTGCTGCTGCTGCTGCTTGTGATGCTGATGCGGAATTTCCGGTTGCTGATGCCGATGGAGCGTGGATTTGAGGCCATGGCGAAGCAGTGGCGCCATAAATACGGTTTCCAGCGGCGGACCTCAAGGGGGATGCACGCAGACGCGGCTCGCGGAAAGACGCGCGCTCCCGATTGCGACGAAACGACCCTTCCATTTACTCGAGTCGCGATGGTGTACTAGGCAAACAGGAGGTTTCCCTTTTTATCTTTCTACTTGGCGGATGTTCTGCATCCACTGAATCCTACACTCCTGGCTCCTATCAATACGGTACGGAGCTGTGCCTACTGGTAAGAAAACGGGGAGTATGAACGCCGTAGCCTTGCCGCATTGCTCTAAGGGCGATATTGGGGAAGATGGAGAAGTCTACGCTACAAGGCAGGATTGTGGGCGGCAGAGCGAGGGCAAAAGAGGAAGGCTACGACCAGAGAAGAACTAATCGCCACGCAAAAGGCAGTGACGAGGAGCTTTGGAAAGAAGAAGAAACAGTGGTTCAGGAAACGGTTGTCACCTTTGAATGGAGCGTGAACGCAACAAGGCTTTCTGGCAGGACCTAATGTCTGCTCCTCGCAAACTATGAAACAGAATTCTAGTATGTGCCTAGCTGTTTCTGCATCTGAAATCTTGCGCCTTCGAGTAAGGTCCAAACCAGCCGAGCTGAGCCGACGGAGGGAAGTGGGCATGCGAGCAATGAGCGATGGTGGTGCTACTTTCAGCCAGAAACAGACTGTGGTGCTGGGCGGAAATTTGCGCTTGCTCAGGCCGCGAAAGCACTGGACCACACGCGAAAGCATGAGGGCAAATGAGACAATTCTGCCGAAATTCGCGAACTGGGGCTCCTCCCTCCGTTGACGATGGGCCAAGTGTGTTGGAAGGTGGAACCATGCGACTCCGAACCAAAACACCCGCACGGCGATTGTCGCACACCCACGGCGGAGATGAAGGTGAGCAGGATAAGGCTCGCGGGGGGGCGCAGAACAGCGGAAATGCGACCCTTCGAGCCGCGAGGCGGAGGACGGAGCAGCGGTTCGCCACGGAAATGCTGTGGCATGTGTGTGGGGCCAGCTTGCGCCCTCTGTGGGGTGGCCGAGCCGAAGCGCAATATAGTTACTCGACAGTGGCAAACAGTGGCCTGGTCCTGCATTGATAAACCGTTACAGAGGCAAGCGAGATGTTAACGAAGAGTTAATGACGTGATTGTGAAGTTCAAGCTCACCAAACTAGAGGGTGAGCGAAGACGTTGGCGAAACAGCACGAGAGTACGCATATTAGTAACGAGCGAGCCAGTACGCGTTACTGCATTTGACCCTTCGAGGGAAGTGGTGGTTTACAGAATAACATAAACACAGCTTAAAGCCCGAGGTCAGCATGGTAAATTTTCAAGTTATGTGAGGTTGAAATAGACTGGCGAAAACCTGGAAATCGTGTATTTCGAAAATGTGAGTGGGGCGAAAGCGAATTCAGGAGGCGGGTAAAACAGCCTTCGCCACGATACTTTGCGACATCTGTTTCCGAGAATCTGGGAGGACCGAACGACTGAGTGTGCGACAGAGGACTGCTCCCGCCCCACCACTGGTGGGGCACACTGCGCTTCTCTTGGGGTTGAAATGGTGGGCAACGCGAAACTCTCACGCGAGTAAGGCAGAGGCAGTATAATGAACATATTTTTACAATTTCTAATTTACTAAAATGTTTGGATGGTTTTGAGACTTCACTTCAGGATAACAAAACATCCCAAGTGCTGAGGGGAAGCAGAAAAGCCTTGGAAGCAAATTGTGAATCATAAAAAGGACATATCAAGAAACACATTAGCAACACATTTCCAAACGTACACTCTCAAGCTCAGATCCCGCAACTCATAAGGGTCTCGGCCGTGCCATTCCCTTCACCACTCTGCACTCACCCGGCCCACCGCAGCGCAGACCAGCCTTGCCCCATCGCACATGGCTTGACGTGCGCTGCCGCCAGCATTCCTGTCAGCCTGCCTGCCCCCTCCCGCATCAACGTTCCGCGGCATCCTGCTTGCACTGCCAATCTCCATATTTTGAGAGCGGCCCCTGCCTGCCTTCACCCTGTGCTTGCCTTTGTGCCTCCCTCCCACGCCACTCCGCACTGACCATCCGCACAACACACTCTCTTACCCTTGCCCCATGATCCACCTTCAACTCCTTGCCTGCACAGTGCTGGCCGCCAGGCAGAGCGGCTCCCAATCCCATCGTAGATGCAGAGGCGGCGGCAACAGAGAGGGCAGGGCCTCATAGGGCGCAGGTCGGCAGAGGGTATGGGGCAGCAGGGGAGGCTGAAGGCAGTCTCGACAGGAGGCAGCCAGCTCGCCTCAGGGCAGATCCAGTCGAAGATCTGCTGGATGCGGTGCTTCGGTGGCCTGCCGCGAGGAAGAGGGTGAAAAAAGGGGGAGGGAATGGAGAGAGACCGTAGTGAGTAGAAGAGCGAGAGGGATTGGGCAGATATAGAAACAGACGGGGAAAGGGAGAGGTGGGATGGAAGGCGTGGACAGCAGGCGGCAGGCACAAGGGGGAGCAGCATTGCGGCAGAGTGTGAGAGAGAGACGCTCATCACTTGTGCCAGGGGATCCAGTAATCTAAGAACTTGCATGCGCGTGCGTGTTGCTGCGCACCGCGTAGAGATCGCGTAGGGGATGGGGGGAGGCAGGGAAGGGGATGGGGGGGAGCAGGGAAGGGGATGGGGGGAGGCAGGGAAGGGGATGGGGGGAGGCAGGGAAGGGGATGGGGGGAAGCAGGGAAGGGGATGGGGTGAAGCAGGGGAGGGGATGGGGGGAAGCAGGGGAGGGATGGGGGGAAGCAGGGAAGGGGATGGGGGGAAGCAGGGAAGGGGATACGGGGAAACAGGGAAGAGGGTGGGGGGATGCAGGGAAGGGGATGGGGGGAAGCAGGGAAGGGGATGGGGGGAAGCAGGGGAGGGGATGGGGGGAAGCAGGGGAGGGGATGGGGGGAAGCAGGGAAGGGGATGGGGGGAAGCAGGGGAGGGGATGGGGGGAAGCAGGGGAGGGGATGGGGGGAACAGGGGCAGATTCCGGGGAGAGAGCTTGGGGGAGGATGGTGGGGAGCAGAGAGGGGTTCGAAACGCTGTGAGATTGGGGTGGCGTTGGCGACCATCTCTGTTCCTCCCCCTCTGGAGTTGGTGAGATGGGGAGAGGGGAAGAGCGGATGGAAACGCTGATGACGAGGGGAAGCGCGAGTGACTGGGAGGCAAGGGCGACGACGGGACGTGCGAGCGACGAGGGGAGGCGAGGGCGGCGAGGGTCGGCAAGGGTGATGAGGGGAAGCGTCAGCGACGAGAGGGAATGTGGGTGACTAAGGGAGGTGAGGGCGGCGAGGATCGGTGCGGGTCGACGAGGGTGATGAGGGGAGCGCGGGTGACGATCTGAAACGCGGTATGTCTACTATCAGCGATTGCGACGAGGGGATGAGTGAGTAACGTGGGAAAGCGCGGGCGACTAGGGGAACATATGCCACCAGAGGGTCGGCGAGGGCGATGAGGGAAAGCGCGGGCGACGAGGAACGCGGTATGACGTGGGAAAGAGCGGCCGACGAGACTAACGGCAGCGTGCGTCACGCGAAGCAGTACAGTATTCGCGTGAACGACCCGTGCCTAAAACGGCACGGTTGTGACACGAGCCTGAACCGCAGCAAGTGTGAGAAGAGCCTGCGTGTGCGACGCGAGCTTGAATGCAAGACGCGAGTAACGCGAAGATCGTTCACTAACGCAAGTGCCGCGGGGGAAGGGGTTGTAACACGAGACCGGTGACGAGAGGGGGAGATCGGAGCGTGCACTGACTAAGATGGTTGGGGTGGATACTTATCTTTCTTTCCGCACAAAAAAAAACCCTTTAAAGGACTCGCTTTTGCCAACTAACGCTAGTTTTTGCCTCGGAGCCTCCTAGTCTATGAGTTCTACTTGGTAAGCAAGTTATGTGAGTGGTGAACAGTGCATCTGGTTGGCGATCATCGCGTCAGTTCTGTTTTTGGCAACTCGGGTTCCTTTGTCGCAGGACGATTGCCTGGGCTCGCGAGAGTTTCATCAGAGAAAGTAGGGTAACTCTGTTTTTGGCGATTTCAAGTTCAAGAATCTTGAACTTGAAAATTACCATGCTGTACTCGGGCTTTAACACGCATACCTGTTAGCACACTCTGCCACAGAATGTAAAGCACAGCTGCAATCCAGCCATTACTATTCAAATTACTGATGGTACTCACACGTGCAGAATCACAAGCAGTGGGTCTATCGGAATTAAGAGCACACAAACTAAAGCACACAATAATATACAGCTTGACTAGCAGTACAACAGTACGTACTACTCAAACTCCTGCTGTCCCAAAGATCTTGAGCACTGCGTAGGTGATGCCCATGGCCAGCCAGCCTCCAATCGTGGTTCGTAGGGCAGCACGGAACTTTCTTGCACCACCCAGCCAGGCCCCAATTGCTCCAAATATTAAGAATGTGATGGTGGAAACCACAATCATGACAGTAAGCCGCGTGGGGAAATTGGAAATGAATGCCCCAGATAGCAATGGAATCATGCCTCCAATGGTGAATGCTATGGCTGACACAACGGCCGCCTGCACATAGGCAAAGAGCGAGAGGGCAATACATAAGATGCGAAGTGTGTTAGAACAATGTAACACAAAAATCGAAAACGTGAAAATACTACACGACAGAGCTTGCCAAGTACGACAATGAGAAACAGCAACAACAAGCAAAAGAGGGGCAGATAACCAAATCTTCAAGGCACGCAAGAGGCAGTACCTGTCCAGGGCTCGACAGCGCATCCATGTCAATGCCCAGCTCGTCCCTTGCATGCGCTCTGATGGGGTCGCCTTTATGCAGCTCAACGGCCACAGTGCGCGCCAACTCGTACGACAACCCTCGCTCCACATAAATCAGAGTCAGCTCTTCCAGCTCCCGCGCGCACGCCTCTGGTCCCTTCGCAAACTCCGCCCGTTCTTTCCGCAGATCCGCCTCCTCCGTGTCGCGCTGCCCAAACACGGAGATATACTCGCCGATAGCCATGCTGCACGCGCCTGCGACAAGCCCAGAGAGGCCGGATATCACCATGGTGCTTTTGTCTTCCTCCACGGCTCCTACGCCGATCATGAGCGACGCGGTGGACACGAGCCCGTCGTTCGCGCCGAGCAGTGCGGCGCGCAGCCAGGGAGAGCGGTGCGAGTAGTGCGAGTGGCCCATTTTCGGCTCCTGGGGAGAGGAATCCGCATCTTGTCCGCCGTTTTCGCCATCGTGGTTGCAGTTATCGCTGCTCGCAGCGCTGCTGAAGCTTCCGAAGATCCTCCGCTTGAAGCTTCCCTCGCGGTCTCCGCCATGCCGCACGCCAGCGGCGGGTCTGCTCCCAACGCCGCCGTTCTTGGTTACGCTTTCCATTCCGCGGCCTGCCTCCGCTGAATCCGCGCGCTCCTTGTTCTCCGCCGTTCCACCCGCAAGGAGGTCGAACTCCGGCACGCCACTGGCAGTGGCTTCTGTGTCGACGATGGAAACGCTCACATCATCTTCAGAAGCAGGAGTTGCAGCTGCTGACATCGTGTCGGGAACGAGGCTGGGTACACTTTCCCCCGAGTCGAGAACGTTCGAGGGAATACTGCTCCCTTCCAGATTTGTGGGAGCCTCGCGAGTGGATGCGCCCTTTGCGGCACGTTCTTCATTAGGAGCTCCATCCTGATGATGCTGCTTCGCGCCGCCGGGCGTTGAAGAAAGAAGAACAGTGCACGAGATGTCGTCGGGAGAAGGAGCCATGACGGCGAATAAAATTGCGCCTCAAACGCCGTAAGATTTTTGACGAGCTGGAAAATTGGGGCTTGGAAGTCAAGAGTGAAAGTCCAGGTTGTTCACACTTCACCACGCGAGTCGTGACGAGACCATGGATTGGAGGATGGGCTTTCTGTGCGGCCGCCAGCGAATTTACGGAGGGACGACGCGAAGGTGGACGCATATCACGCAAAGGTGCCGCAATAAATGGCACCTGCAGGGGAAATGAAGGTTCTAGAACACAAAATCGGGCAAGCAACAAGCTGGTAGTAGGGAAACGGCGTCAGGAGTGCTTGCTGAGCCGAGTGATGAAATGTGCGATATAGCGGAAATTGGTGAATGCTTATCTGTGAGGGAGCCCTGAATCTCTTGATTGACATCTCGGGCGTGGGCTGGCTTGCATGCCATTGAAGGTGTTGGCTGGGAAAGGGGAATGAACGCGGGGACAGCTAAGGGTAATATTGGGAGATACGGGGTGGAAATAGGTCAAACTGGTAAGGTCATGCTTTCTAACACTGTCAGCAAGGAGTCTGCGTGCTCTTTTGTTCCAGTGGTAGATGGTGAAAGAGAAAAGTATTGATCTTGGAGACTTGGTTCGAGGCGTATTTTGGAAGTCCCAGTCCAGCCGATCCCTAGTCACGACAGGAGTACACCCCAAAATCGGGGGAGATGTACGGCAACCAAAACTAAATCTCGAACCAACATTTTTTGCAGGGTATTCGTGTCGGGAAATTGTTGTGCGGGTTTGACGAAGAAGCAAATGGCACGTGACAAGGGCACACCAAAGCAGATATATATGTTTGGTGGGCAGCTTCAGATGCCAGATCGACTGGGATCTGCCAACAAAAAGAGGTCGCACCTGAAACAGAGGCCAGCGATTGCAAAGCTCTGCACTTTGCACGAGTGATAGCTGCCCCAACAAGCGGATGTGATGAGTCGGATGAACTCTTTCACCGACATCCACCCTCAAAAAGTTCCAAAGTTCCTCCGTCAAGGAAGCAGCGTGGGAAACGTGGATAAGGCACGCGCCAGCGTCAAACCGGAGCGAGGCTGCCGCGTGCTCGTTGGTTCCTGTATTTCGAGGTTGCGGTGGACAACGGAGTCTCTGTTCTGTAATGTCACACCACAATCACCTGCAAACGGTCGCAATAGCTTTCAGGAACACGCAGCCACTGCCGCTATTAGTCTAAATACAAAAGACAGTTACGTGATAGTTGCATCTCAATCACTAGTTGGGTTTTACCTTACTACAGTATGATGGTTATTGCAAGACCTTAAAAACATATGACTTAGTTCGATAGCATAGATATGAACGTCTTTCAGTGTATTAGCACGATGTCAGGCTGTCAGCTAATTTCGCCTGCCATGATGGCGCACCCACAGCTCCTATGCACACGGTTGCCGTGACATTACCACACGTAGGTACAATGCTTTGCTCTGCAAAGCTTCACTATGCTGCATCAACTCGGCACGTACATACCCGCACCCCGTTGCTGCCTCTCCAATCTGCAAACCAAACAGTGTCAGCCATGGCAGCAAAAAAAAACATGCAGTTTAGGAAGGGCAAGAAAACATGCAGTAAGTTAAATCGCAGCAAGGGAAAAAGACAAACACCAAGCCACTGATAACACCCTTTGCAGCCCAGCCAAAACCACCATATTCACCAGCAGCAACACACCAGCAGCAGAAGTACCAGCAGCAGCAGTAACCAGCAACAGCACTTACGAGGGAGCGAGTTTCCCAAGCGACTTGATATGGCGCCCCGTGGACTCGTCATGTAGCTCGCCATCAATAGTGAGCGAGTAGAACCCCGGCACCATGGGCAACCCCCTCCCCTTGAGGATGGTCAGATCCCGCGGCGTCAGCTCGCGCCCGTTCACCACCACACCCGTAGTGCCCCCACAGCAGTCCTGTGGCATGGGTGCGTGCGCCACCGCCCATATGCTCGCCTGTGAAGGGTGCGGTAGAGCACGGAGCGCAGGGAGTGTGGTTAATGGTTGGTGGCGGGAAGGAGAGCATGCACAGGGAATGGAAGGTGGAGGTTGAGATGTGACCAGACAGGAGAAACGGAAGGAGTGCGCGCATTATTGGTAGGCGGGAAGAAGAGTTGCGTGCATAAGGGGAGAGCAGAGTGAGGATGGGTTGGGTGGATTGCAGAGGGCTTACCGGGATGACTCCAAGGCATGGTCCCCCCATGATGCCCCAGAAGCCAGCATAGGCGTCGTACCTGGTGGTGTGAATGTGGGACGCACACAGGGACACAGGACAAGCGCACATGAAAAGAGTGCAGCAGAGCACAAGCCACCATAAGAGCGACAGGGGAGATCAAGGACATGCGTGTGAGAGAGAGGCGGGAGAGAAAGGGCATGACCACGAGCATGAGCATCAGCGTGAGCAAGAGAATGAGCAGTGGAACGGGAATGAATGAGAGGGAGCAAGGAGCAAGCACACACCAGTAGGAGCCGGGGTGAATAGGGCCTGCCATGGCCTCTGCCTCATGCACGTGCGCATCTGAGATGGGCACGCCATTCACCACCACGCCCCTGCTGTACGCCTCCTCCCCTCTTCCCCCACCCACCACCCCCGCTGCTGCCCCTCCTTGCCCGTTCCTCACCGAGCAACTCGAATTGCCCCGACTGCTGCTTCCTGTGCCCCCCTTCCCACCTCGGCCAGCAGCGGTAGCAGCAGCGCCCTTCCCTGCAGCAGCAGTAGCAGTGGCAGCCACTGTGACGACCCCATTGGGGGGTGGTCTGCCTTGGCCCCACGGCTCGTGCTGCTGATGCACCCCTCCTCCTCCTGCTGCCGCCGCTGCCACCGCTGCTGCCGTCGCTGCTACATGTGCCGCTGTGTTGCTGCTCCGAGCAGTCACCCTGCCGTGGCTGGGATGTGTCGCGGCCAGGAACGACTGGGAGGTTGTAGCTGCAGGGACGGACGAAGATCCAGGAAACACACCGCCCACACCAGCACTAGCTCCAGTGGCGCCGGCCCCAAACCCCGCACCGGGACCCATTGCAGGAATAGAGGCGGACACAGGCATGGAGATGAGGGAGGAGGCGCCTCTGCTGGTGGGGCGACGGGGGGAAACAGCGGAGATGACAGAGGAAGAGGAAGACGGAAAGGGCCTGCCTTTCGCCTCCAGATCCAACGATGAGCGTGCCCTGGTCATACCACCACGACTCGCCCCGTCTGCCCCGCCAGCAGCAGCAGCAGCACCAGCAGCAGCACCCTGCCCGTAGAAGCCCCTAGGTGGGCTCTCCCCGTTGTTGCTGCTGCCACGGTTGTTGCCCCCGGGTGGGCTGCTCTGCACATGGTTCTTGAACCTGCCACTGTTTCCTGCCATCCCTGCGCCGCTGCTACTGCTGCTGCTCCCACTGCGCATGTGCCGTGGGCCCTTGTGCTGCCCAGGAGTGGTGGCTGTAGCAGCGGCTGTAGCAACAGAACTAGCAGTACCCACCACGTTCATAGTCATACACCGTGCCATGCGCTTGCCCTCTGCCCCTTGGCCCGTGCTCTTCATGCTACTCCCTGCAGCACCAGCAGTGGCTGATGCGACCCCTACTCCTCTGGATTTCCCTGGTCCACCTCTGTGAGGAGTACAGGGAGACGCAGACTGGCTATACACGCCCCCGGTTGCTTCTGCCATTGTTGCTGCCTCTAGCTCTGTTTCCAGATCTCCATACATGTCCTCCTCCCCTTCCTCATCCTCCTCCCCATCTGCAATTTCCTCCTCCTCCACCTCCTCTTCCGCCTCCCCTGAAAATCCCTGCCCATCCATGCCACCATACCCTCCTCCGTACTCATCTGTCATTCCTTCCTTGTATTCCTCCTCCCCATACCCCTCGCCATATACACCTCCCCCGGTTGCACCCTCACCAAGGTTGAAGTTTCCTTGGTAGGCGGCAGCACTGCTGCCAGCGCGAACAAACTGCCGGCTGCTCGAGTCAGGAGCCATCCCTGCTGCCACAGCCACGGCTTGCACCCTCCCCCCTGCACTCTGAACCCTCTGAAACCCCGTGTTTCCCACGCGCCCCCCTCTGCCCACTCCTCCCACCTGCTGCGGTTGCTGCTGCTGCTGCTGCTGCTGCTGGTGTTGTTGCTGTTGCTGTTGCCACTGCTGTTGCTGGCCATATGCCATCCCTGCGTTTCCAGGAGGGCACGGGTCCTCAAACCCGAAATCCGCCTCCCCATCCTCATCCTCCCAGTCCCCCTCCCCTGCCCCCGCCCCGCCCCCACCATACCCCCCTCCCCGTCCATACCCATTCTGCGCTCCATACCCATATGGACTGCCCCCCTCCCCACCATACCCCGCTTCATCACCATACCCTCCACCTCCCATCCCAACCCCTCCTCCAGCCTCCCAACCCTCTCCACCCCTCGCATTCGCCCCCCACCGCCCTTCCTCTTCCCCCCCATACCCATACCCATTCCCGCTCCCGCTCCCGCTCACACCATACGCTCCCCCCTGCCTGCCCGCCCCAACCCCCATCCCCGCGCCTTGCCCTGACGCCACAGTGCAAGACGTAGCGGACAGGGGGAAGGAGGGAGGCGAGGAGGCGGGGAGAGAGCTCGGGGAGGAGGTGGGGAGGGAGGGCAGGGCGGAGTGGGATGGCGGAGGGGAGGCGGGGACGGGTGATTGGAAGGGCAGGTATTTGCAGACTTTGAGGCATTTACCACACCGCAGCTTCTGCACGCCACTCTTGGGCGTGGGTAGCTTCTTGGGGAGCGATAGATTCTGCCCACAATACGTGCACTGAGGGGGGAAGGTGGGGGGGAACACGGGAGATAGTGGAGGAGGGGAGCGGGGAGGGAGGGGGGGGGGGGGGGGGGGGGGTGGGAGACCGGGGGAGGGGAGGGTGTAAAAAGAAAAAAAGAAAAAACGAGGGATGGTGATATGACGACACGGGTGGCGCAGGTGTGGTGTGCGGGCAAGGGAAGGGCAGCTTATTTGGCAGACGAGAGCGACAGGAGGGGGACGCGGCAGCTCCGAAACGAGAGCGCTGCAGCTTCAGGTGGGAGGACGCTCTCCCAGTTTCTTCCATCCACTCAGAATGAACCAGCTTCAGCTTCAGACGCCGGAAAAAAATAAACAACAACAATCCCCTCCTGCAACAGACTCCCTTGGCGAACTGAGCACAGCTAGGAAAACTTCCCTTGCACCAGCCCAGCAGCAAGCGCACCTTGACAATCTGAGTGGCGTGGGGAGGAGGCAGCATGGGCAGCCCTGCTAGCTTCTCCTCCTTGCTCTTCCCACTCCTGCTCCTGCCGCCACTGTCCCCCCCACCGCCGCTGATGCTCACCACGCTGCCGCACACGCTGCCAACCACACTGGCGGCATCACAGGACGACAGAGACGACTCTCTCTTGAGCGGGCTGCTCATAGTGCGCCGCATAGGCACCTCCCCCATGGGGTACCCTTCACTCCATTCCGCACCGTCGTCACCGTTCTCCCATCCATTCGCTCCTCCCGACCCTGCTGCTGCAGATGCACCGCTGCCCATTGCGCTGCCCACTGCGCCTGCTCCCCCCGGCCCCAGTGCTCTCCCTACCCCGCGTGCCCCCCCTGCGCAGCCCAGCCCTTCCCGGCCCGCATTGGCAGATGCATCACTGAACGTCTTCATACGGCTGGACTTGCGACTGCTGCCAACACTCGCACCTGCTCCTGACGCCCCTACTGCCCCCCCTGATGGCCCTGATGCTCCCAACGCGCCTGACGCTCTTCCCGGCACTGAGTTGCAGGAGGAGGAGAGAGGAAACGCCGTGCCGCCTCTCCCGGCGCCCGCAGCGCCGCCGCTTGCCCCACGCCCCACAGCAACGGCGGAGGAGGCGGAGGAGGAGGAGGGCATATGCGCGCGTGCGGCTGCGCTGCCCGTGCTGGAGCTGCGGAGAGGCGGGGAGGGGCGCGAGGGGGTGTAGGGGGAAGGATCGTACTGCTGGTCGTCCTGTGCGGGACAGAGAGGGGGGACGGGCGGGTGGGAAGGGGTGGGGGTGTGTGTTGGGGGGTGGCGGTGGATAGATGGAACTGAACAATGTGACAGAAATAATGAGGGTAGCTGGGAGGGGGGAAGACGCAAGGGGAGCAGTGAGGCAGCAGTGAGGCAGCAGTGAGGCAGCAGATCCGGGTGAATGGCGCTGCACAGCACAGCTGGTTGGAGAGGGAAGAGGAGGAACGGGCAGAGACATGGGCAGAGAGGCAGTTTAGAACGAATCTCCAGGGCAAGCGACATGCGTGACGTGAAGCCTCACCTGCACGGCCTGCAGCGCAACAGTGAGCGCGTGCAACACTCCCCCGCTCTCCTGCGCGGAGTTGGGCAGTGTGCGCGCCCGCCGCACCACCTCCGCCATCTCACCCTCCTCCTCGTCCCCCTCCTCCTCCTCCTCCTCTTCCCCCTCGTACTCTCCCTCCCCCGCGCCACCATCACCCCCGTCTCGGTTCAGCCACGGAATTCCACCCTGCTGTGGCTGCTGCTGCTGTTGTTGTTGTTGCTGCTGCTGCTGCTGCTGCCTCATCTTAGCCCTTTGAAAACGTTCCAATTGCTGCTGCTGCTGTGGCTGCGGCTGCTGCGGCTGCTGTTGCGGCTGTGATTGCGGCTGCTGTTTGGGCGGAGAGGGCCGGGGGGGATGATACCGGGGAGACTGTGAAGGCGCTCCCCCCTTCCCCTGCTCATCCCCCTTCCCCGACGCCATGCCCTGCCTGCCGCGCCCCGATTGGCTGTGTGACGGCGCCACGTCAGCGCCGCCAGCGCTGGCGGCGGAGGAAAACGCGGAGGCGGAAGCGGAGGAGAAGGTAGAGGCGGAGGAAGAGGCGCTGGAGGCGAGAGAGGTAGCGCCAAGTCCGGGGGGAGAGAGCGCATTGGAAGGGGAGGAGAGAGTGGGGGAGGTTTGATTGCTGAAGCTTCCATGGGCAGAACCTGTCTTGTTACTCGATCCACCCTCCTGAATGCCGCCTGCCGCTCCTGAACCCGCCGCTCCCCCTCCTCCCCCGATCCCCGCTCCTCCTGTCCCAACACCCGGCGCAGCTGCGCTGGCCTCCGCGCTCTTCTTTTTCCGCGCAGCGGCTTTTCGCAAGTGCGCGGGTTGCGGGACCGGGGAGAAGATCACACTACCGGTTTCGGAATCATTATCGTCGTCGCGTAGACTGCTTCTGCTGTCTCTGGTGTCTCTACCCACTCCCGCAACTACCGCTGCGGCTAGGCCTGGAGGCGGGCGCAGATGCTGCTGCTGAAGCACGGACGGCGGCCCTACTGGTAACCTCTGCTGCTCCTGGCTCGCAGGGGCTGTCGCAGCCGACGACTTGGGCGACGGTTGCGACGTCGCACGCGAGAACGACGACTGATCGTGATGCACCTGTAGATTAAGTCGGTTTTTCACCCCCCCCAGCTGGTGCACGGGGAGGCGCGGGGGGAGGGTCACTCCGCCTCCGCCTCCGCTTCCGCCACCGGCTCCCGCGGCAGCTGCCGATCCTCCGCCACTTCCGCCGAAGCTGAAGCCGCCGATGCTTAGCAGTGTGCTTCCGATCGGCGCTCCTGGCGCGGGCGGAGGAGCTTTCTCCAGCAGCGCTTGCAGCTTCGCGGGAATTTTAACGTCCTCTAGGCGCGGCATCGCGGAAATATAGCTCGGCGGAGGTGGGAACTACTCGGCGAGAATAACTTACATGGATACTGGGAACGGGTACTCGCAGTCAATAAAGTGACTAGTTAAGGTTACATGGGTTACATGGATCAAAGAATGATGGGGTCAAAAGTGGCCGACGGGCGTGTCAGGAGGTTAGGACTAAACCGCTAAAGTCGAGCACGAATTGTGAAACTGAAAGAGACTTAGGTTGACTGGTGCGAGTCGGAATCAGTCCATAAGAAATGAATGGGATGTTGGAATGGACGGGCCGCGCGAAGCCTAATTATAATATGAAATAAGTGAATGACGGATGTCCGGTGGGTTATTCGACAAAAAGATAGTGGAGGTGAGAGCAGTAACTGCCATGTCCGCGGACTGACGTGGGACGGCGAAACCTGAGCCTGAAACACCGTCAGGTATCAGCTTAGGCTTGCAATTTTGCTTGGTGAGAACCGCAAGCAATGCGTGTTCTGAGCCGGGAATATTATGATCATGTACGGGAATGGGTGGAAACTCGAGCCTATGGTGTGTACAACCTAATCGGCGAAGAATCAGGAACAGTTAGTAATCACTTCGAAGCAACTCTGCTCAGAGTTCTCCTCGAACACATTCCGTTCAGTAGCCAAGCAGCTGGGTTGGGTTGGCGTTGGCACTCGTGCTGCTGCTGCTCGGCTTGGCTAGCCTTGGCTCGTGTCATTGGTTTCATCCGCAGGCCCGTCCCGCCGTTCCCCCCCAACTGACCCCCTGCACGCCTTGCCGCACCTGTCACCTGACTTTTCCCCCTCCTCTCCTCGCCACCACACCACTCACCCACTCGCCCAGCAAGCAAGCAACCCTTCAAACAAAACGCCATGACTGCTGTGTGATTGGTGGGTGTGCTAACCTAGATACGCCATAAGTTCCGACTCGAGCTCGAAACGCTCAGGGAGCTGGTGAAACAGCACTTTCAGACGTATCAGTTATTGTGGTAAAGTACACCCAACATCTTTACACTAATGGATTTGCCCCACTATATTTTACTATTGTAAAAAGGGAGCAAATTGGTTGTATTAAAGTAAAAACACTTCGGTTCTCGACTTTCTCCCTCTGGATTGTTTTATTTAGAGGATATAGACACTGCTCAACCAAGACACTGCACGGCGATCTGGACACAAAAGTGTTTGGGTAGCAGACCCCAGGAAAAACGGGTTGGTCGGAGACGAGAGCGAGGGGGAATATGTGGGGAAAAGGGATGGGGGAATGGTAGGGGTTGCGGGGAAGGAGATATACACCCCGAGTTAGGGCGTGTCTGAAGTGCAAACGTCGAGTTTCGTCAAATTTCGTCGACGAAACTCATCCGTGGGACCCACGCGTGTTGGTGTCTGAAGTGCAAACTGACATCCCTCGACGAAACTCGACGTTCGTGCACATGTCGAGGGATGTCGAACAGTGATACCGGGCAGCTGTTTGAGTCACTGTAGTCAGTGAGTGTTTCAAAAACAATTCTTCGACACGCCATGTCTGCATAGCTGTGGCAAACACACGTGAATAAGAACTAAGACGAGAGCGACACGTGCTAGAGAAATTTCGATGGCAATGTGACAGTAGAATATCCGGTGTTACCAGCAACAATCTATGCTAAGCGAAATTCGCGAGATTGCAAACAATTGAGTTACATGAATGATTCTGTTAATTCCACGTCGAATTTTCATGGGCAACTTATAACAGTGTTCCTATGGCACGTGTGGGTTATTTTGTCGTGTGGGTGTCTGAAGTGAACACAGCTGAAAACGGATGTCGAGTTTCGTCAAGGAACGTCGACGAAAGTTTCGTCGGCAAACGTCGAAATTCACTTCAGACACGCCCTTAGGCCACTTTTAGAAGGACGGACATCGAAACCAGAACTGCCGCTTAGGGGGTGTAACATGTGCGCAAGAACTACGCTGGGCCGTGCTGGGCCGCTGCGGCCCAGGGGCATTTGCGTGGACCAGCGCGGACCAGCATGGACCGGCGAACGGCACAGGTGTGGACCCGACTTGCACCCGCCCACGGACCAGCATGTACAGTGCGAGGCGCACGTACGAAAATGACGCTCGACACGCAGGACCATTTCCAGAGCGACCCAAGGCGATGGAATCGCATGCGAAAACTGCGTTTTGATTGTTTCGCCAAAAGTATCTGCTGCATGCGACATCTTGTTCAAGCGTGACCAGGTACACTAATATTTTCGTCAACACTTCGTTTTCGAAGCTGCAATGCACTGTGCATAGCTGGTCCGCCGCAAATGATCCCCGGTACCACGCGGGACCACTTTTGGAAGTGGTCCCTCTAAAATGGTTTCCCCTTGCATTCGCTGGTACATTTCCTTGTAAATGGACCAGCGCGCAATGTTACACCCCCTTACTGAAACCGCCACCTTGGAGACATTGCGCCCAGGTTTGAGAATTCCCACAGCGCTCCACAGTGGCATCGAATGGGACCAGCGAGTGTTGTGGGCGTGTCGCAGCACAAATCAACCCCTGAATTCGATCTGTACTGAGAGGGACAAACGTCAGAGGACCTCCGGAAACAAACGCCCCACCCCAACACCGGACTTGTAACCTGAGTGAGCAGATTTGTTATGAGTTGTAAAAGAGAGTGCGCAGGTAAACTAAATAACGAGACTTAACTGATCTCAAAATACAATGAAGGCACAGACTAATGTAGGGGCTAGCCTAGCTAGGAGGAAACCTCGGACGAGCGAGGTTGGGGTGCAGGTTTGGCGATGGGAAATGCCGAAGGCGACGCGAGGAGCCTCGGCAGCGTTGAAATCGGCCGAACGTGCAAAGTCCGAAAATCGGGCTGTACGCGTAGCAGTCAACCCCGATAAGGAATTCGGGAAAATTCCTTACACTACCCCCCCCCCCCCCCCCCACCCCCCCCCCCCTTAAGAAAGGCGGTCAATATCCGAAACACGCTTGCGCGCCAAGTAGTCACCAACAAGGGACGAGGTGGTTAGCGAGTCAGAGTGCACCCACGTGTCGTCCTCACTGGTACGATCGGTCCAACGGACCAAGAAATCCACGTGGCGACCAGCTGCGTCAAGTCGAACCCGATGTGCCAGAATCTTCGAAGGGTCGAGAGTCGACTCCGGGACAGGTCGTGCGGCTGGGGCAGCTTGTTGCCTCGCGATGTCGGTCGTGGCTGGTACGAAATTGCAAAGCAGGCTGACGTGGAAGGCGTCATGAATTCGCCAGTCGTCGGGTAGCAGCAGCTTCGCGGTGACAGGTGTCACCATCTTAATAATATCGTGGCCGTAATTTCGACGGACCGGGCAGGTGCAGGTTCTTCGTGTCAAGTAGCACTAATTGCCCAGTGGTCAAGACGAGTTCCCGGCGTAGAAGGTCGGTGTATTTGCGGGAAGTTATATTCGCCTTGCGAATTGCGTCTGCGGCTTTTTCCCGGACTTTTTGTAGTTCCGTCACAAAAGTTTGTGACCTCGGGACTGGGTTGTCGAGGGAAGTCGCTGTAGGAACCGTCGGGTCCATCCCGTAATTCAGGAAAAACGGGGAGTGATTAGTCGTGCTGGACGTCGCGTTGTTGAAAGCGAACTCCAACATGGCAAGAGACTCTTCCCAGCGGGCAGGGTCGGGGCAGTTTGTCCTGATCAGCTGCTCCATTGTCTGATTGGTCCTTTCAGTCTGGCCGTCCGTCTGTGGGTGATAAGCCGATGAGAACTGTAGTTTCGTGCCGTACTGCGCCCACGTCTCCTTCCACAATTTCGATGTAAACTTCGGGTCTCGGTCGCTGATGATCGCCGAAGGGATGCCGTGCAGTCGCACGACCGTTGAGATGAAGAGTCGTGCAGTTTCTTCGGCTGTGATTGTCGTTCGGCATGGGGCAAAGTGCGCCATCTTCGTGAAGCGATCGACGACGACAAGTACGGCGTCGTTGCCGGACGGCCCAGCTGGCATCCCCGTGACAAAGTCCATTGTCACTTGCTGCCACGGTCGTTCGGGTGGTTCGAGGGGTTGCAGCAGCCCAGCTGGCCGTTGACGTGTCGATTTCATGGCTTGGCACACCCTGCATGAGGACACATATCGCTGCACGTCGTTAAAGGAATCAGGCCAATAATATTGACGGTGCAGTAATTTCTGGGTTTTATCAACCCCGAAGTGTCCGGAGAAGTTCGAGTCGTGGACCTCCTGGATAAGGAGTTCACGCAGCAGCCTGTAAGCGGGAACCCAAATCCGGTCGGTTCCGGCTTTTAGGTAATAATCCCCTTTCTGCGTCGTGGCCTGCCGATGATTTCCAGTCGTGAAGAATGGGTCCGTAGTGTAGCCGTGGGTGAATAGTCCAGTAAGTAACGGGTTCGAATGGGTGTTGAGTACTGCAGCGGATTGTACTGTTGGTCGGGTCAGGGCGTCGGCGATGTTATTCGCCCCTTTTTTGTACGTGATGCGGTAGGTGAAGTGGCTCTCCATGTAGTCCATCCACCGAATCTGTCGTGGGTTGAGGTTGGGTTGGGCTCGCAGGTACTGTAGGGACTTGTGGTCTGTGCGAACAGTGACGTCGGCGCCCACCAGGTAGCATCACCATAATTTAAACGCGTGGATGATGGCAAGCATCTCCTTGTCGTGGATCGGGTAGTTGCGTTCGGCTGCCTGCAGCTTGCGTGATTCGTAGGCAATCGGCTGCAACCCGTTCCCGAAATCTTGAAGAAGCACAGCTCCGATGGCGAAATCTGAGGCGTCGGTGATGACTTCGAACGGCTTCGATGGATCGGCGATGCGCAGCACAGGAGGGGAAACTAGAAAATTCTTGAGTTCCTGGAAAGCCGCTTCTGCCTCCTCTTCCCACACAAAATTCCTGTCCTTGTGCAGCAGGTCGGTCAGCGGGCCGGTTATCCCTGCCATATTCGGGATAAACCGTCTGACGTAATTCACGAATCCCAGAAAACTCTGAAGTTCCGTGACATTCGTCGGGGACTTCCACTCCTGTATGGTCTTGATTTTCGCCGGGTCGATTTTAATGCCTTCGCGCGAGATGACGTGCCCCAAAAACTCCAACTCCTGCTTAAAAAACTCGCACTTAGAGCCCTTGGTGATGAGTCGGTTCTCCTGCAGCCGCTTAAACACTGCATCCAGGTCGCGGAGGTGTTGTTCTCTTGTCTTGCTAAATATCAGGATATCGTCCAAGTAGACGATGACGCATCGGTCTAGAAGATTCCGAAAAACCCTGTTCATGGTGAGTTGAAATGTCGAAGGGGCGTTCGTGAGGCCGAAAGGCATCACTGTAAATTCGTAACTCCCGTAGCGTGTGCGAAACGCAGTCTTGTGACAGTCGTCGGCGAAGACTCGAATCTGGTGGTAACCGCCACGTAAGTCAATTTTCGAGAAATATCGAGCGCCGCGAAGTTGGTCGAGGAGGTCGTCGGTGCGTGGGATTGGATAGCGAGACTTGATGGTGACCCGGTTCAGCGCGCGATAGTCGATGCACATGCGGAGCCCGCCGTCTTTCTTCGGAGTGAACAGGATCGGTGCTGCGAAGGGAGATGTGCTGGCCCGAATGAACCCTTTCTCCAACAGTGCGTCAATTTGACTTCGCAGCTCCTCGAGTTCCGGCTGGGTCAACCGCCACTGTGTCCGAACAGTCGGCTGCGCGGCAGGTTCCAGCTGGATTTTGTGGTCCTCAGGTCTCTCGGGTGGCAGTCCAGGTGGTAGATCGTCGGGGAAAATGTCAGGGTACCTCCGAATCAGCTCCGCTAAATCCGGTGGTACAGCTGCACACAGCTTCTCGATGTCCTTTCCGTCGGTGTCAACCGCCAACTCGCGTAAGCAAACAGCGAACAGCTGCGCGCCCTTGTTGAAGTGGCGAGCAATAGTGATGGCTTTGACGCACGGGGCTTGGATGTAGTCAGGTGTCCATGCAGGCAGTTTAATTAGCCCCTCGTGCTTGTTGATGCTGCACGATCCCGTTGTCCAGTCGATGACGGGGTTGTGCCGTCGCAGCCAATCACGTCCCAGCAGCACGTCGCAGCCGTCCAATGTTGTCGCGAGGAACTTCATGCTGAAGCCGAAATCGTCGCCGCATTCGATCCTGACCGTCCGTGTTTCTTCCGTTATCGCCAGAGGCGTCCCATCCACGAGGCGAGCGTCGATTTCGGGCAGACACCTGTCAAGTTGCAGCTTGCATTTTTTTGCGCTCGCCAAATTGAAGAGGCTATGGCTGGCCCCTACATCGATGAACATTTTCAAGTTATTTTTTAACACCTTGCCAGCGACCAGCATAGGGTGATCCACATGTGTATCCCCGTTATTCGGCCGAGTGCGATCGATTGCATGAATCGGAACCACGACTCGGTGGGGATGGTGGTGTTCGGGCGACGGAGCACAGTCAGTAAAGGGCCCGCTAATTACTGACTCTTCCCATTTCCCTGCTCCTTCCTGTCGTTCCCCGTCAGCGGCGTTTTCTCGTGGCAGTCTTTCATGTAGTGACCCGTCTTCCCACACCGGTAACACGGTCCCTTAGGAGGGCGGTCGGGTGTATGGACGGCGTTGATTGTGGCCCGATGGGTCTGGCCACGAAAACGGTTTACATCCCTGGAAGCCGTTCTCGCGTACTGCATCAGCGCATCTGTAGACTCCGCCAACCGTACTGCTTCAAGGAATGATGTCGGGCGGCCCCTGCGAACCTCGTACTGTATCTCGTATTTGAGGCCGCTGATATATTTATCCAACCGCTCTGCTTCCGACATATCATCCACTTGGTCGGCGAGGCCCATAAATGACGCCTTGTAGTCTTGGACAGAAGCCATCTGCGACCATGCACGCAGCTTCATGCGAGCTTGCTCCGAGGCGGATACGTGATCGAAGCGATCTCTTAAGGCTGCGCCCCACTCCTTCCATGTGCGTATCCTGGTCACTCCGAAGATTGATTATGCCACTTGATTAGTCACTGTTGAGGTCCCGTCTGCCGCATGCGTCACACCTGTCGGCGTCCCCGTTTCCAAGGTTCGGCGCCACCACTCAAGCGCTGCACCTCGAAGAAGCGAAACCGCGTAATTAATACGCGTGGCATCGTCATTAACTCCTGCTGCAGTGAAGAAGACCTCGACCCCGAACAGCCACCCTTTTACTGTAACCGTCTTGTCCGTAGGATTAAACGGGGGCGGGTTGACGGGCTTGATCTTGATCGTCGTTACTGCAACTGGCGTTGATGCCGCTCGTTGCCTATCCTCCTCTTCGAAGTCACGTGTGAGCGCGTCCAAAGGATTGCTCACTTCTTGACTGTTGCCCTCGCCTTCGTCCTCGGGCGACACCTGACGCGCTTCACCTCGCGTCTGGCGCAGCTCGGCGTTTTCTTCACGCAGTGTTGTCACTTCCGCCATTAACGACTTCATGCTCTCCTGCATTTCTGCCACTTGCGCCATCATCCTGTTAACCGCCTCCTGATCCATGTGCCTAGCGCTACGTCTGGTGGGCAGTCGGGTATCCGTGGCCTTCAGGCAAGTGAAAACACGAACTATCGGAGTCGGGCAGGATTGAATTAACAATCCCTGCGGCCAACCGTCGTGTAGTCACTAAACCAGCCACACCCTATGCCACCAAACTACCCTCGGAAAAGCGAGGTGAACTAGGAAAATACCTCTGATACTAGGTGTTATGAGTTGTAAAAGAGAGTGCGCAGGTAAACGAAATAACGAGACTGTGATTAACTGATCTTGTCAGAATCAAGCAGCAGGAATGATAAACACGAAAGAGAGGTTTTGACTAGCATGCAGTAGAGTACATATAGCAAACCCTAATTCGGGCTGTACTCGCTACAGAGTACCCCACTGCAGGCTACACAAACATCACATTCTGACAGATCTCAGAATACAATGAAGGCACTGACTAATGTAGGGGCTAAACCTCGGACGAGCGAGGTTGGGGTGCAGGTTTGGCGATGGGAAAAGCCGAAGGCGACGCGAGGAGCCTCGGCAGCGTTGAAATCGGCCGAACGTGCAAAGTCCGAAAATCGGGCTGTACGCGTAGCAGTCAACCCCGATAAGGAATTCGGGAAAAATCCTTACAAGATTTCTCGTCTGCTTGCGATGATCTTGACGGTGGGTCCAACATACTTCACGGACAAGACAAGCCACCAAGCAGGCATTTACTTGTGGCACGTTATAAGGGCGATTTTCCATATAATAATGTCAGCTATGGAACAACTATAAGCTAGTTCAGTAGAAAATATCATACTAACACCTGCTATAGCATACTTATTCAAATTCATTGCATTCTGTACCTTCACAAGAAATTAAGCGATATAACTTATCTAGAATTAGACCATGTTGTCATTTATTTGTGATGGCATGTGAACGAACATGCAGAATCTGCAATCTGATCATTTGTTTGATTTAGAAAGAGGAGTTCAACAGTTAACATGGAGAAATGTAATTAACAATAATCCAACAAACCCATCCAGCAAGTGAACACTTGCCAAATGCCCATGATTTCTGGTTAGGTTTGAGGGCTCACCCTATTGTCAAGGGTGCGTGTTTTCTTCAAGCCAGTCACGCAAAAACGAGTCCCAAATCTTCATCATCTTCGTCTTGGACCAATCTGAACACTAATTAGGGCGTGGAACATCGTAACGACCATGTGTAATGGTCGCCCATATTGTTGCGTCAGGCGAAAGCGAAGGGTGTAACAGAGATGCGAAGGTTGCGAGATTTCTATGTGATTCTGTTCGCCAGAACGTAGGGCACCCACTAGAAACCACCCCCAATTATCAGAAACATTTAAATTCGACTTTAAGCATTCGAAAGCGGTGTGGGATGTTTGGGGGAGCGGAAATGAGTCAAACACATTCGGGGGTAATTACTGGAAGTAAAATATTGTTCCCTTTTAATGGATGGTGTGGGTAGAGACCCCTAAAAACTTACGGGAGATACCACTGATTTTAAGTCAAGTCAGGGTGACTAATATGCGTGCCAGTCAATGCGGTCTCCCTAAATTCTTCGCAATCGCCAGAAACAACCAGACATCCGACCATTTGGCGTGGTCGTTACAATGTTCCACGCCCTTAGGTCTTAGAAGCTACCTCCCACTTGGTCACTCACCTGGGAGTGTCGGCGCGCGTTTACAACTGCCTGCTGCCACACGCCGCTCGTTCCATTTAACCTAACAACCATATCAGTCGTGCAATCTAGCTAATTCGCGTGCTGCGCGCATGGATCTACTAGATGCCGACGCCCTAAGGCGGCTGTACCCGGAGGCCTTCTGGGCGCCGTTCCTCGCGGAGGGCATGCGACCCGACGGCCGGCCCATCGGGCAAGCTCGCGGCGTCAGTATTGGTCTGGGTGCGTCGACGGCCCGGGTCAGGGTTGGGGGATCAGAGTCAGGGTTCAGGGTATACGGCGGGCTAGGCACTTTATGAGGGTTTTCTGTAGATTTATGGCATTTTGGCGAGGTTTCCGTTAGAATTTTCCAGCTTTTTATGTGACCTGATTTTCTCTGGGCTATTTTTCTTATCCGTGCAGGCACTGTAACGAACGCGGATGCATCAGCTTTGGTGAAGCTGGGAGACACAGTGAGTGCACACAGGGGTACAAGCACGCGTCGTTACCGTGCACTCGTGCTTGCTCAAATGCCGTATCTCGCTTCCTCTGACACTTACAACTCACGTCCACTTCCCCCGTACCTCCCCCCTTTCCTCCCTCCGTATTTCCTCACTCTACACACAACCTCCACTTCCCCCACCTCCCCTCCGCGCTTGCGCTTCCTCCTGGTTCCGGCGTCCCCCCATGGGCGCGCAGGCGATGGTGGCGGCGATAAAGGTGGAGGTCATGTCGCCCTCCGACGACCAACCCACGGCGGGCGCTCTGCGTGCGTGCTCTGGGGGGAGGGAGGGGATAATAGGGAGGGGAGGGAGGGGAGGGAGAGGAGGGAGGAGAGGGAGGAGAGGAAGAGGAGGGAGGGGAGGTAGGGGATAGGCTGGACGAGGGGTTAGGGGCGGGAGAGGAGCAGTGAAGGGTAGGGGAACGGAGCAGAGGGAACATTGACAGAGAGAGTGAGAATGTGAGGATAGTGACCCGGAGATGACACAATTCCACTGCTCGGGGGAAGGCTATGAGAAAATGTGGGAGCAGGGGCAGCGCGAAGGTGGTGGGGAGAGGATGAGAGGAAGGGGGCTAAGCAAGGGGGTTCCAGCATGGTTGCACCGCCCCTCTTCTTTCGACACCTGCATATCATTCTCGCTCTCCATCACCCACACCCTGTCTCTCTCTCTCCCGCCCTCTTCCTCAAAGTCTTTCTCTCATCACAAACACCCTCCCTCCCTCCCTCCCTCCCTCCCTCCCTCCCTCCCTCCCTCCCTCCCTCCCTCCATCCCTCCCTCCCTCCCTCCCTCCCTCTCCCTCTCTCACTCGCCCCTGAAACCCTAACCCCCTAACCCCCTGACCCCTAACCTCCTAACCGCCTGACCCCTAACCCCCTAACCCCCTGGCACCAAGAGCAGTGGTGTCGTGCGACTTACCGCCCATCTGCTCCGCAGCAGTGCGGCCTGGCCGCCCCCCGGACATGGCACACACCATCTCGCACCACCTCACCTCCCTGCTCACCAGGTACCCAGCCTCCCACCCACCACCTGTGCTCTCTCCTGCTCTCTCGTCTGCAGTCTCTCCTGCTCTTTCTTGCTGTCTCCCACATTGCTGTCACCACCGCTACCATCCATTGCCTCCCCATTCACCCCTCCCCTACCCCCGCACGCGTCTTCTCCCACCCATTCACAGTGCCGCATGTGTGGATCTAACTCACCTCTGCATTGTACCGGGCAAGGCTGCGTGGGCCATCTGGCTGGTACGTGCTGCCCTTTCCTTAATTGCCCATGCACTACCCATGCACTACCCATGCACTAGCCACGCATTGCCCATGCACCACCCTTATTTTCTTTCTCTGAACCGTCCTTCCGTCTAATCGCCATTAACACTGGACCGCTGCTCATAATCCTCCCTTGTCTCTGCCCCCACTCTCTCGCTTCTCCAGCATCCCTCAGCTCATCCCTCCCTCTCAACCCCCCACCCCTTCACCCATCTCGCTCACTCACTTCCCCGTCCCTGCCACCCCTCCCATCCCTCCACCCCTCCCGCCTGGCAGGACATAGTGTGTATTGACGCCGACGGAGCTCTCTTCGATGCTGCTCTGCTCGCCGCTCTCGCGGCCCTCTCCTCCCGTACGCTCCTCTCCTCTCCGCTCTTCTTCCCTCTCCTGCCCTGCCCTTCCCTCCTTATCCACCCATTCCCCACTCCCCCTGGCATGTGCTGCTGCTCCTGTCATGCGTTCTTCCTCCCCTCCCCCCGTTTCCCCACCCCACACTCTCCCCATGCTTCTCCCCATTCCCCGCGCATCACGCCATACCCCTCCTCTCTGAAACCCCACACACCCTCTCTCACAGCCACCTCCTTCCCTTCCCCCCTGCAGTGACCCTCCCGGCAGTGGATGTGGTGGCGAATGGAAAGGTGTTTCTGCACTCGCAGCAGGGCGCACAGGCGGATGGGGCTCGCGCAGGCAGCGAGGGGGAGGGCGGGGGAGGCAGGGGTGATGGGGACGGGGGGGTTAAGGAGGAGGGGAGGGGGGACAGGGGCAGAGGAGAGGGCGAAGAAGCAGGTGTGGAAGGAGGGAGGGGAGCAGAGCGGGACGGGGATGGATTGGTGGTGGAGCAGACAGTGGAAGGGAGGAGACTGGAGCTGCAGGCGCTGCCATTGGCCCAGACCGTGTGCTTGTATGGGGGCCACCTCTTGGTTGATCCCACTGCGGAAGAGGAGCGGCTCGGGAGTGGCAGTAACAATGTGATTATAGCGATGGATGTGATGGCGCGGGAGGAGGGTTCAGGGGCTGGGAAGGGTGCGGAGGAGGGGGAGAAGGGAGGGGGAGGGAAGGGGGAGCGGAAAGGGGGGATTGGGAGGGGAGTGGAGAAAGGGGGAGGAGGGAGTGAAGAGGGGGAGGAGCTGTTACTGGTGTTCAAGGCGGGAGGGTCTGCAAGATTAACAGCGGCAGGCATGCAGGTGGGTGGCAAGCAGTGGCTTATTGTGTGTGTGGTGAGAGCATGGATGTACAATTGTGTGGGAATGTGTTGGGCTGCTTGTAAGCTGCAGCAACATGCTTCATGCTGTAACAAACACATTTAGTTTCTCACTTTCCCATGCCTCTCTCCATACCCACCCACACCCTTCCGCAATCCTCACTCCCTCCCGTGTCCCTCCTGTGCATGTGGCTGCGCTTCATTACGAGCAGGACTGCACTGCAGCAGCAGCGGTGAACCTCAGAGAGAGGAGGGCCGCTCTGCTGCACGCATTGGCCGAGGCAGAAAAAGAGGAGGAAGAGGAGGACGAGGAGGAAGGGGAGGAGGGGGAGGAGATGGAGAGTTGAGAATTGATGGCTTTGTGCAGGCCTTGGTTGTGTAGCTGTACCCCGTGAAGCATTAACAGAGAGTACCGGTACCTACGGTAGTAAAAATGACGTTATTTTCATTTACCTCAAATGATGTTACGGCACAATGGACTGGATCCACTAAAGATGCATACAGAGGTTAGCTTTGTGTAAACCCACTGAGAGACTAACCTAACAAGGCGCACCACAGATGCCCTTTGGAGGGTAGCAGTGGGAGGGCACCTCCCCCACACCTTGCCTCCCCACCACCATCACCACCAACCACCACACACCCGAACCAACTCTTCACCTTGCATTCCCATTCAGTATCAAGCCATCATTCCATGCAATGCAGGTCAGTACAGGTCAGCACAGGTCAACACTAATCAACACTGGTCAACTCTGGTCAACGGTGGTCAATGCTGCAAGTCCCAGACGCGCACGGACCCATCAGCGGAGCAGGAGAGCATCTGCTTGTCAGAGGGATGGAAAGCAATCCCTGTCACCACGCCCTTGTGCGCACCCTGCTGCTGCCCCGCCACTGACCCCTCCACGAGGTCCCATGCCACCAGCCGCCCATCCTCTGACCCACACACCACGTATGCATCGTCCCGCGTCAACCCTGCCTCCAGCTTGTAGTGCTGCCGGTGCGTGGGGTTGGAGATTTGAGGCATGAAGTTCGGGTTCGGGGTTTGGGAGGGTTTAGGGGGGTTTGGAGTTTGGATTTAACAAGACAGGAAGGATGTGACAGGAGGGGAGTGGGTGGGACGGGTGATGCAGACAGACAGAGCCCAGCCCATGCCATAGCCCCTGACTCATGCCCCTTGCAAGTCCCAGGCGGCATGGCATGCGCGCACTCACCTCGTTCACATGGCCTCGGTACTCGTTCAGAATCTCTCCGCTTTGCCTGCACACATGCACACATGCACACATGCACACATGCACACATGCACACATGCAGGGAGCCAGGGCACAGCATGTGAGCGCCCAAACATCCATCCATCCACGGCGCAGCGGAGCAACACAGCACGAGTGAACCAGCGACGTGCAGCTCGCGGCAAGCTGGCAGTTGGCGTTGGCATCATGGATTATGCACTGCACAGTGCAGTGCGCACACCTGTCGAGAAGTCTGAGAGTGCTGTGCAGGCTGGCGGCCAGCAGGCAGTTGGCATCATGTGACATGGCGATGCAGTTGATCGGGTGCTCTAGCCCTAGCTCGTCCACCTGTAGTCTGGTGCATGCACGGCAGGATAGTTGGAATTGGATGGGTCAACCAGCAACGAGATGCAGGGGGAGCGGAGGTTGATAATCAAGAGCGGGAGTGACCCCCACGGCACAGGCCACCCCACCCACGCGCGCACCTGCCTCTGCGGATATCAAACGTGGCGATGCTGCCGTCAATGCTGGCGGCCACGATGCAGTGAGCGGAGAGCAGCAGCGAGGTGACGGCATCGGAGAAGGGGTCCATGGTCTGCACGGCGTCTACGCTGTGCGACCTGCAGTCCCACACCCGCACGCTGCGGTCGTACCCGCCTGATACCACCACGCTGTCGTACTCGTTGAACGCCACTGCGTTCACCTGTGTGCTCGTGGGCATGGACGGAGGGACGGAGAGGGACGGTGGGAAGAGGGAGAAGGGCGAATGAGATGGATTTATAGCAGACTCGTTCAACGAGAACCACCACGCTGTCATACTCGCTGAACGCCACTGCGTTCACCTGTGCGCTCGTGGAGACGTGGGTGGGCGAGGACCAAGGGCGTGGAGAGGGGTGCGGAGGGAGCTGAGACGGGGGGTGAAAGAGAGGGGGGGGGGGGAAGGGGAAGACAAGGCGAGAGAACGAACAGCACAATGCACACGCATAGGATTCGGCCACACAGCCCCACAGCAGCACGTCCCTCTCAGGGGCGCCTCAAGAGGCGCTTCTCAGTCGGCTCAGAAGGTGCTCTTAGCGGCTCCATCCATCCACTTGCCTCCCTCCCTGGGTGGACAGGAGCATGCGCACGGCGCACCTGGTTGTCGTGGCCTTTGAAGCGCCGCAGCACTCGCCCTGCCGCCACGTCCCACAGCAGCACGCCCCTCTCCGCGCCCCCCGACGCCAGCCGCGCGTTGTCGCTGCATGGGTGCGCAGGGAGGAGTAGGCGCAAAGGAGCGGCGGCAAGAGGGTAAGGGGAAAGGGAGGAGGGAGAGCGCAAGAGGCATGGAGGCATGCAGGAGCAGGGCACGCCGTGTTGGGCGCAAGGCATGGGCTGAGAAAGTCGCCATGCTGGCGGTGACAAGGGGACAGAAGACAGGGGGACAGAACTCACACTCCCCCATGTCCTCCACTCCCTCGCTCTGTATCCTACCTTCTACCCTCGCCATTTTGCCGCCCCCCCCCCCCCCCCCCCCCCCCCCTTCCCAGTTCTTAATTCCATCGTTCCCCCCCACTTCGTCCCTTCCTTGACTCGCCCCGGCACCTCCCTTTTCCACTGCTATCACCCCACTCCCCTCCCCTCCGCGCCAGCGCCCCCCGCCGCGCGCACCTGGTGACGGCGACGTCGCGCACCTCGCGGCCGTGCCCCACGTAGCTCTTGATCATCAGCCCCGTCGCGGGGTTCCACAGCCGCACCGTGCGGTCCTTCCCGCACGTCAGGCAGTACCGCCCGTCCGGGTTGTACCGCACCGCTAGCACCGCGCCCTCGTGCCCCACCAGCGCGCGCTCCTCGCGCCACCGCACCTTGGCGGAAGCGACGGGCGCGGAGAGTCCGCCAGTCCCTCCGCCCGCGGTCATTTTGCCGCGGGGTGGGGAGGCGCGGAAGCCGATAGGCGAGAAGGGTTATGTAGGGGAAAGATGTGGAATTTGCGTGTTGCAGAGCAGCAGTACCAAGGGAAAAGGGTGCTGGGCTGTTGACGAGGGATTGGGGAGTCCTGGGATGTATGATGTCAGAACAGAACGCATTTCCTGTGGTTGTCTATGACAGAACAACTCGCTATAAACTGTTATACTAAGTCCAATTTGCTCAATCGCGGAGACTTTGTTACTCTCAAAAGTCTATATTGCCTTCGCGAAGTATCATTCAAATTCTGAAGATCTGTGTGTGTTCTTGGCTCTAGACTGATGTGTACATACCACACAGTATGTTAGAAGTGTAGCACGTCATGTTACGGGCGATAAAAATCGTCTCTGTAACGTGTCGTCGATTGTCGTGAACAAATCTCGAAGTTCCGACCTGGCAAACGTTTACAGGGTACGCCTTCTTTTACGGCCTTCTCCTGTCTGCGCTGTCACTCACCTGAACATGACTTCGTCCGTCAAATCCAGCCACGTGCACCGCCATTTCAGGAAATTCGGGACCAAACTAGCGAAATCTCAAATGACGTGGAGATCTTCGTACAGTGCTGGCATTTCGTCGAAGTCTGGCTTGCCAATCGGATTTGCCCCACCGTTTCGCCCAACATTCCGGCAAAGCAGTCTGCTGTCTTGTGACCAGTGACCACCTGCCCCTTGGAGTTTCATGTCGCGATGACATGGCGTGAAGGGACGCATGCTTACATGGCACGCAAGGCGTTGCTTTGGAGCTGTCCTGAGGCGGAAAATGTCGGCGTGGCAAGCTCCCCCCGTGCGAGATCCGCCTCCTCCGGCATTCCCTCGCCCAATGCCTGACGTGTCCACTGAGCTGGGGTCACTTGCTTTCTTTCGCAGTCGTTGCGGACAAAACCAAAACCTTTACAGAAACAAATAAACCCAACCAAACCCACCTGGATTGTGCTAAATATTTGCGAAACCCTTTTTTACTGCCCCGTATCCTCCTCATCTTCTCCACTTGCATCTTCCTCATCCTTCCTTCCCGCGTAAGCCCTGTCAGCCAGAGCGTGGCGATATTCCTCGGCTCCTATTCGCTCTCTTAGTTGCTCACACGCCATTCCCAACTGTCTTGCCACTCGGCCTCGCCAAGAATCGTGCGACTACATATCTGCGGCGCAGCTGCAATCCGAATTCTAGCAACTACATAATCCCACTTCCCTCTCCTCTCATCTCGTCTTACTCACCGTAGTTTCATGGCTGCATCTCTCCTTTCCGCACAAACTGGTCTTGCTAGCGCCAGGCTTGTCCAGGCTTGCTCCAGAAGCGAGGTAGGATCACGTTCTCTTACCTTGTCCTTCATGGCCTTCACCTTGCTTCGTCTCCTGTGTCCTGTCTCAGCTTAGCTTCGGTGGATCTTGTGGTTCTGGATTGCGTCCGTTTGCCCGTTGTTTCGTGCACATGCGTGATGCTCCCTTGGATCCGTCCACCTTTTCCCTAACGATCGGCTTTCATCCCTGCGCGTGCTGTTCGCATGCTGTTCCTTCGCTGCGTGCGGTGCAGGCGTTCAAGAACTTGGCGTTCAAGGCCAGCTCCGTCGTCGCTCCAGGCCGATTCTTCGGTTCCTTCTCGCAGTCGCGCGTCACCATGGCGGCCGAGCCCTCTCGCTTCCAGGAGGTCGCCATGGCGCCTCCCGATCCCATCCTTGGCGTGTCCGATGCCTTCAGGGCCGACACCCATCCCGACAAGCTTAACCTTGGTGTCGGAGCCTACCGTACCGAGGATCTCCAGCCCTATGTGCTGCGTGTTGTGTCAAAGGTGAGGATGTGCTGCGTGTTGTCTCTGTTTCAGAGCCCTAAAATATCACCGCCACAAGTCATAGCAACTCGCGTTGTTTCTCGGATCATAAGGAAGTCAAGTTCCTTTTAGCGTGCGAAAAAAAAAAGAGGGTTGCAGATCCAGCAGAGCTGGCCCGTTTTCCAGGATCCCGCCTAACAATATACCGTATTTCCCCGACCGGTTGGTGGGTGGCAGGCGGAGAAGCTGATGCTGGACAACCACGAGAACAAGGAGTACCTGCCCATCGAGGGCCTCGCCGCCTTTAACAAGGCCACCGTCGAGCTGCTCCTCGGTGCCGGCAACCAGGCCGTCAAGGACGGACGGGTACGTCAACCATTCTCTTACAGGTCCTACCTTTTCTGGATCAAGCGTCGCGCAAATGTTTCTATGTGTTACCCGGCGTAGTACCGTGCGCATCGTAAAATTTTGTATTCCAGTAGTCGTTGATCCCCTGAGCGTACTCTCCCCATTCGCCGTTGTTCTTGCTGCCTTCCGCTCGTGCAGGTGGCGACGGTGCAGGGACTGTCCGGAACGGGTTCGCTGCGTCTGGGAGCGGCGTTCATCCAGCGCTACCTGCCCGGCGCTACCGTATACATCTCCGCGCCCACCTGGGGTAAGATCTCTCACCAACGCACCCGCTCTCCCTCTCCTACCCCTCCGTCTCTCGCCCGCGTTTCCTCATTTCTTCGTAACGCACTCTCTCATTTTCTCGCGCTCCTCTGCTTCTTCTCCGCGGCCGTGCGCGCAGGCAACCACAAGGCGATCTTCTCGGATGCGGGCGTGGAGTGGAAGGAGTACCGCTACTACGATCCCAAGACCGTCGGGCTCGACTACGACGGCATGCTCGAGGACATCAAGGTGCGCGCCGCCGCCGCCCTCACACGGCCAGATCGGGGGTTGGGAATGGCAGATCTGGGATTGGGTAGCGGGGAATGGAGCTGGTGCTCCGTGGTGCTCCGTAGGAGCCGTGGAATTCCAAGTAATCTCGTGTTCCGATTTATGTTGCTAACACCAGCTGTCGCACGAGTGGTATTAGTAGCAACAACAGTAGCTCCTACTGACGGGTTCTCGCCCACTGCTCACGCACTCACCCTTTTCTTTCCTCTCCTTTTCCCGCCTCTTCTCACCCTGCAGAACGCCCCTGACGGGTCCGTGATTCTGCTGCACGGGTGCGCGCACAACCCGACGGGCATCGACCCCACCAAGGAGCAGTGGAAGGTGATCGCCGACACCATCAAGGCCAAGAAGCACCTCCCCTTCTTCGACGTCGCCTACCAGGTATAACACCAACCACCCGCCTCCCGCGCACCATCTCTTGCTCCCTACGGACCCCCTATTGCGTCACTCGGGTCCGGCAGATCCCACCCGTATGCATTTGATCCGTTGCTCTCCGGCCAGTGCATCTGCGTCTGTCGTGTCTCACCCGGTTTCGTCTTGTCTGCGTGTCCGTGTGCGCGCGCCTCTTGTCTTGTCGTCGTCGCAGGGCTTCGCGAGCGGCAGCCTGGACGAGGACGCGTGGTCCGTGCGCTACTTCGTGGAGTCCGGGCTCGAGGTGCTCGTCGCGCAGTCATACAGCAAGAACCTCGGGCTCTACGCGGAGCGCATCGGCGCCATCAACGCCATCGTCCCCAACTCCGACGTCGCGACGCGCGTGAAGTCCCAGCTGAAGCGCCTCGCGCGGCCCATGTACTCGAACCCGCCCGTGCACGGCGCGCGCATCGTGGCGAACGTGGTGGGCGACGGGAAGCTGTTCGACGAGTGGAGAGAGGAGATGCAGGGCATGGCGGGGCGCATCAAGGAGGTGCGACAGAAGCTGTACGACCAGCTGGCGGCGAAGGATAAGTCTGGCAAGGACTGGTCGTTCGTGCTGAAGCAGATCGGCATGTTCTCCTTCACTGGCCTCAACAAGACCCAGGTTCGTGCCGTGCCAGCGCGTGGTGGGGACGGGGCTAGACTTGGGTTTACGAGTTGTGTATATGGAGCTGGGGCGATGTGGGTATGATGATTGCGTGCGAGTGCAATCCCAGGACGAATGTGACTGTGTGGGGTGAACGGGGTGGGCTCAATGCTGTGAGACTGATGTTCCTGCAAGTTGTTGTGCAGCTGTTATATCTGATGTAAGCGTCCCTCCTCACTCACACCTGCTTCTCCATCCTCTCACCCTCCACCCCTGCCCTCTGCCTGTCTGTCTATGGCGCCAGTCGGAGCACATGACAAGCAAGTGGCACGTGTACATGACCAAGGATGGCCGTATCTCCCTGGCTGGTCTGCCTGCTGCCAAGTGCGAGTACCTCGCTGACGCTATCATTGACTCTTTCTACAACGTCAAGTAGATCCATACTTTTCAGCCTTTTGAAAATATGTCTTGTTGATTTTGTCAGTGCTTTTTAGTTGCGGTGTTTGCTACCTCCAGTGGTTTAGAGGCCCGTTGTGTTGACCCGCTAGATTGGTTTTGGGGCACACTGATAAATCCATGTCAGTCACGATTTTACGCTGAATACAGCCAAAAACAGCCATACTCTCATTTCTATGCTAGACATATACTGGAATTTGTTGGGAAAACACTGGAAATTCTGCTATGGGTCAGAAGAAACGCTGTAAAATGGTTGTATCAGAGCGTATTCCTACGGCCGCATATCAGGCCGCCTCGTATCAAGATTGTACTTTTTGTTGGTAAAAGTAGCGAGAGGTTTGGGTTTAGGGGATTTCTCAGTGTGAGCTTGATATGAGGTACGCTTGATACGAGGATATGAATACGCTCTCAGTACAGTGACTATCATCTGAGGCCCCCCTGGGTGGACATATGCAAGAGCAACAATCTTCCTTCCCAACAGACAACCTAAGGCCTTAACAGAAAGCATGTCAAATGCTGTCGGAGATCCATGATGGCAGCCTAAGTCAAATTTTCTGGAAACATAGCCCTTCGACTGGATAACGAAGCTAAGGAAGGATAACGGTTATGCAAAGTGCCATATACATAGTAGCGGAATGGCTCTATGCCATGGTTCACAAAATCAGACGGCATGGATTCAAACCACATCTCCTCCAACCGTCTACAGTTGTTTTCCCTCCCTATGTACGGTAGTCTTCTGTGCCTTCCATTAACTGTGATGCTCCACTTGCCTCCAGCAATTGCCAGCCTGCAGATAGCATGTTGCCATGCCATGCCATGCCATGCCATGAAACACCATGCCATGCCATCACACACCATACCATGGCACACATGGAATGCCACACAATGACAACCCACACATGCCACGGCATGGAATGACAAACCACACCATCCCACAACATAGCAGAACCCAAACCATGGCATGGCATGCAACACTATGCCATGCCACACCATGACATGCCACACTATGCCATGCCACACTATGCCCTGCCACACCATGACAGAGCACACTATGCCAATCACACACCATCAAATAACATACCTCACAAATACATATCACACGGTAACATATCATACAGTAACATACCACACATAAACATGCCACACAGAAGCATACCACACAGAAATATACCATCAGTAACATACCATGAAGTAACATACAACACAGTAACATATCATAAAGTAACAAAGCATACAGAAACATAGCACACAGTAACATATCATACAGTAACATACAACACACTAACACACCACACTGAACAATACCACACAGTAACAATACCCCTCCCCACCTTCACTACCCCAACCCACTTCACACCAAACCCCCACCACGAATTACAAGCCCATCCCCCAGCAGTAGGAGCAGCTACAGCCCACTCCCTTTCGGAAACAGCACCCCCTGGGGGTGTGCTGTGTGGGGCGAGGTAAAAGTTGGATTTCAGGCTCCACTCACCACCCAAGGGGATTCAGGCCCCACTCACCACCCAAGGGGTTTCAGGCCCCACTCACCACCCAATGGGATTCAGGCCCCACTCACCACCCAAGGGGTTTCAGGCCCCACTCACCACCCAAGGGGATTCAGGCCCCGCTCACCAACCAAGGGGATTCAGGCCCCACTCACAACCCAAGGGGATTCAGGCCCCACTCACCACCCAAGGGGTTCAAAGCCCCCTCTCACTCACTCACCCAGCCCATCTCACCTTCACCTGCCAGCAGTAGGAGCAGCAGAGAGCTCACTCCCTAAAGGAAACAACACCCCCAGAGGCGGTGCATTGCGGAGCGAAGTGTGGTAGTGGAAAATTGCTTCCAGCCCAAGACTCAAATCCCACCCCTGACGTAGCCAGAGCTGACGCGAACCAGAGCAGCCGGCCGGTCGGCTCTGACGGTGTCCATTAAGCCTTAAACGGCAGATCGGGAACCTGAGCACCGAGTGCCGTGCCGCGCAGATTCCACCCACCACACTCCACCACCACAAGACACAACCCCAGGAGATGCAGTGAACTAAAGCAGTGAACCATGCTCCCCACCCACCCACCCCACACTTCACCTCCATGCCTCCTCACCTGTACTTACCACAGCCGTGCTGAGCGCCATGATGCCAAGGCTGCTGGGAAGTGGGGAAGGAGGGGGGGGGGGGGGAATTAGGGGAGGGCGGGACTCCACCGTGGTCCAGGCAGGGTTCTGCAACGGGGGGGAGGGAAGAAAGAGAGGAGGAGGTGTGTGAGAGTGTGGACTCCACTCTCCGCCCTTGCTCCAGTGCTCCCACCCTCAGCCTGCAGGGGAGAAAAGGGGGGAGAAAGAAAGGGGAAAATATCAGATCACCACACCTGACCTGGTACCATACCAAACCTTTTACCACACCTCGCTCACACCATGCCTAGCCTACCCTCCTCTCCAGCCCCCCACCACCCACTGCTGCTGCGCTGCTGCTTCTTCTGCTGCAACTGCTGCTGCCGGTCTGCTACTCTGCTTCCTCTGCTGCACTCTTCGCTTGATGCCAAGTGACCTGGTGGTGGGCAGAGAAGGGGGAGGGGGACAGGGGAGGAAGGGCAGAAGGTTAGTGATGTGACGTGAACAGAATCACTACATTCAACAGAAAAACGCATAAGCTGATAAAGACAACAAGGGCAAAATGCAGAGAGAACTGCAGCAACAAATGCACCCCAAGGAGGGAGGTAACGCACCTTGAGAGGCCAGCCCACCCCAATACTCTCCCTCGTGACACCAACTGCAAGCTGCTGCACTGCTGCCTCCCTCCCTCCCATCCCCGTGGGTACCTGCACGGCCACAGGGGAGGGGCGTGGGGAAGCGTCGGTGTTGACCCCACACGCCCCTCCCCTCCACCTGCAAGGCACATGCGCAGAGATAGTGAGTGTGCAATCATAACACAAGGCAATATGGCAGCTGGGACTTCAAAAGCAGGGAGGGCGAGGGAAAGGGCCACTGGTGGAGGGAAGAATCACAAGCCACAGACCATCCAGGGAAACCTGAAAGATGAACCTGAAAGTAGGGGGAAACCTGAGGGGGCTGTAAGGTCTAGGGCGGGCTTAACCTGAGGGGCTTAGGAACAGCAATGGGGGAGGGTCTGTGGCTTGCAAACCGGGCTCCAACCAGTGGCAAATTGTTCGGGGAGAAAACACGGAAGCACATGCGAAAATGATTCAGGCAGCAATGTGAGGAAAGAGCAGCAGAGTCCAGGGCGGAAAAGGCACTTAGCTGGCGGGCGGTTGAAGATGTTGACTCCTTCCCTCCCCTCCCCTGCTGCTCGTGCGCTCCCCTCGCTGCTGCTGTTGCTGCTGCTGCTGTTGCTGCTGCTGCTGCTGCTGCTGCTGCAACTGGTGCCGTCAATGTGCCACTCAGCTTCCTCTGCTGCATTGCGAGTGACCTGGAAAGGGGCAGAACGGAAGAGAAGGCCAGGAGGGGAGTAAGTGCATGCCGTGGCGCAAGCAAGAGCGAAGCAGAAGGATGAGCAGCAGCAGGAGAGGCACCAGCAAAGGCCCACAGCAACAAAAGAGCAGGAAAGAGGCTTACCTTGAAAGGCCACGCCATGCCCAAGGCCACGCCATGCCCAAGCCCAGTGCAGCTGGACTGTTGAGGCAGCGGGACTGCCGTGCTCCAGTGCAGTAGGCAGTGCTGCCTCCCTCCCGTCCCACGAGTGCGAGCACGGCCACAGGGGAGGGGTTTGGGGAAGCGTCGGTGTTGACCCCAGCGCCCCTCCCCTCCACCTGCAAGGAACACGCACAGAGCCTGTGAGTGTGCAATCATGGGATGAAGCTGAATTGGCAACTGCGAGTTTGAAGACAGCACAAGGGAGAGGAAGGGCCACTGGTGGAGGCGAAATTGCAAGCCACAGACTTTTGAGGGAACCTGAGGGGATGAACCTGCTGAAAGTGTTGTACCTGACGGGGCTGTAAGGCCTAGGGAGGGCTTAACCTGAGGGGCTTACCATGAGTGGGGAAGGTCTGTGGCTTGTGAATTGGGTCCCAACCAGTGGCAGACTTTCAGGGATAAAACACCGAAGGCCATGCGAGAAAGACTGAGTGAGCATTATGAGCAGTGAGCAACACGCAAGAGTGAGTCCAGGGAGGCGAAAGCACTTAGCTGGCAGCTGAAGAACCGCCAAGAGATGCTGCCATATGTCCCCCTCCCTCCCCTCCCCTGCTGCATCAGTGCTCCCCGCTGCTGATGCTGCCACATCTGGTGCCGTCAGCTGTCTCTGCTGCGTTGCAAGTGACATGGGAGGGGGCAGAATGGAAGGGAAGGCCAGGAGGGGAGTGAGTGCATGCCTTGAAACCGACAAGGGCGAATCAAAGGGATGAGCGCGAGAGGGCAAGTTAGCAGAAAATGATTGCAGCGGGAAAGTGGCTTACTTTGAAAGGCCAAGCCCATCCCGATACTCTCCCTTGGTGCAGTAGGCAGTGCTGCCTCCCTCTCGTCCCCACCAGTGCCTGCACGGCCACAGGGGAGGGACGTGGGGAAGTGTCGGCGTTGACCCCAGCGCCCCTCCCCACCACCTGCAATGCGCACACACAGAGCTAGTCAGAGACCAGTGGTGGGAGCAAGTCGAATGAATAACAGTGACTTTAAATCCAGCGCAAGAGAAGAGGGAGGAGCCACTGGTGGAAGCACGGCCACAAGCTACAGACCCAAGGGCACCTGAAAAAGAACCTGAGGGGTGTGTAACCTGCACCTGAGGGGGTTACCTGCACCTGAGGCAATTACCTGTAGCAGGGAGGTCTGTAGCATGTGAGCAGTGCCTAACCAGTGGCAAAGTTTCAAGAACATGGTGCAGCAGCTAATGAAACGAGCGAAGCGGTGTGGCAAGCAAGGATGAGGGCATGGAGGAAGGGGTACTTAGCTGATGGCGTGAGAGCAGGAGGCAGTTGAAGCAGCATGGGCAGCAGGCATGGCATGGCGTCTCAGGCGACCAGCAGCGCTGCTCTTGAGCTCCTGCGAGGGGGTGCTGGGGGGGGAGGGGAATGGAGGGGAAGGGGAATGGAGGGGAAGGGGAATGGAGGGGTGGGACTGGGAGGGGAGGGAGAGGCAGTGAGTGGGAGGGAGTCACCCTCACGGAAGGGCATGCATGCAAGCGTGGTGAACTGAGGAAGAGAAAAAGGAGGGCCACGGGTGGACGCACAGTCACAAGCCACAGTCTACGGTCTTTACCTTAGGGCTTTACCTGGAAAAGGGCTTTACCTGGGGGAGGGCTTTACCTGTAATGGGGAGGGCTTGTTTTGAGAGTAATAGAAATGACAGTAAAACGAAACGAGGGTGGATGCATGAAGGAGCGAGCACTTAGCTGATTGAGTGGTTGCGTGCAGAGGGCAGGTGAAGGTGAAGCATGTGCCGGCACCACCAGGTGTTGTCTGCTGCTGCCAGTGGCTTGAGGCATGAGGAGAACGCTGATGCTGCCCCACGTGCTTGCTGCCCCACGTCCGTCTGCCACTGCTCCTCTTGATGAGGCCTGGAAGCGGGGAGGGAGGTGAGGGGGAGAGGGGGGGGGTGCACAAGGAGAGGCAGTGAGTGGAATGGAGGCACCACGGCGGAAGAAAATGCATGCAAGCGTGGTAGACATGAGGAAGAGCGAAAAGAAGGCCACTGGTGGGCGCACACTCACAAGCCACAGAATTACGATCAGTTTCTACCTGCAGTCAAGGAGGGCTTTACCTGGGAGGAAGGCTTTAGCTGGCAGCTGAAGAAACGCCGAGAGATGCTGCCTTTTGTTCCCCTCCCTCCCCTCCCCTCCCCTCCCCGCTGCTGATGCTGCCACATCTGGTGCCGTCAGCTGTCTCTGCTGCGTTGCAAGTGACATGGGAGGGGGCAGAATGGAAGGGAAGGCCAGGAGGAAAGTGAGTGCATGCCTTGAAACCGACAAGGGCGAATCAAAGGGATGAGCCCGAGAAAGCAAGTTAGCAGAAAAAAAAATCAGCGGGAAAGAGAGGTAAGAGGCTTACCTTGAGAGGCCAAGCCCATCCCGATACTCTCCCTTGGTGCAGTAGGCAGTGCTGCCTCCCTCCTGTCCCGTCCCCACGAGTGCCTGCACGGCCATGGGGGAGGGGTGTGGGGAAGCGCCGGTCTTGACCCCAGCGCCCCTCCCCTCCACCTGCAATGCACACACACGGCAGTGGTCAGTATGCATGGCATGGCTGCAAGCACAACACAAGCCACAGCCTGGAAACTGCCAAATCCGGAAGAGGGAGGGAGGGCTACTAGTTGAGGCACGGCCACACGCCACAGACTTGCACCTGAGAAACACCTGCACCTGAGAAACACCTGCACCTGAGAAACACCTGCACCTGAGAAACTCCTGCACCTGAGAAACACCTGCACCTGAGAAACACCTGCACCTGAGAAACACCTGCACCTGAGAAACACCTGCGCCTGAGAAACACCTGCGCCTGAGAAACACCTGCACCTGAGAAACACCTGCACCTGAGAAACACCTGCACCTGAGAAACACCTGCACCTGAGAAACACCTGCACCTGAGAAACACCTGCACCTGAGAAACACCTGCACCTGAGAAACACCTGCACCTGAGAAACACCTGCACCTGAGAAACACCTGCACCTGAGAAACACCTGCACCTGAGAGGGTTACCTGCACCTGAGGGGTTACCTGAAGTGTGGGGGTTTGTGGAATGTGAACCGACTCAACCAGTGGCATTGTTTGAAAGGGAAAGGCGAAGAAACAACCAGCAAACAAAATGACAGCAGTAAAATACAAGAGATGATGTGCAAGCAAGGAGGGTTACTTAGCTGATGGCGTGAGGGCGAGCTCAAGGCAGCTGAAGCACCACCAGCTGCCTCCCTCCACGGCAGCCCTCCTCCCAGCCTTCCCGTGTGCGCCCCTGCACGCCCACGGGGGAGGGGCGTGAGGGAATGTCGGTGTTGACCCCAGCGCCCCTCCCCACCACCTGCAATGCGCACACACAGAGCTAGTCAGAGCACAGTGGTGGGAGCAAGTCGAATGAATAGCAGTGACTTTAAATCCAGCGCAAGAGAAGAGGGAGGAGCCACTAGTGGAAACACGGCCACAAGCTACAGACCCAAGGGCACCTGAAAAAAAACCTGAGGGGTGTAGTGTACCTGCACCTGAGGGGGTTACCTGCATCTGAGGCAATCACCTGTAGCAGGGAGGTCTGTAGCATGTGAGCAGTGTCCAACCAGTGGCAAAGTTTCAAGAAGACGGTGCAGCAGCAGATGAAACGAAGGAAACGGTGTGGCAAGCAAGGGTGAGGGCATGGAGGAAGGGGTACTTAGCTGATGGCGTGAGAGCAGGAGGCAGTTGAAGCAGCATGGGCAGCAGGCATGGCATGGCGTCTCAGGCGACCAGCAGCGCTGCTCTTGAGCTCCTGCGAGGGGAGGGGAAGGGAGGGGAAGGGGAGGGGGAGGGAGGGGAGGCGAGGGAGAGGCAGTGAGTGGGAGAGTCACCATTACGGAAGAAGCGCATGCATGGAAGCGTGGTGAAATGAAGAAGAGCGAAAGGATGGCCACTGGTGCGGTGGACGCACACTCACAAGCCACAGACTACCGGTCTTTACCTGAAAAGGGGCTTTACCTGGAAAAAAAGGCTCTTTACCAGTAATGGGGAGGGTCTGTGGGATGTTTCCTGTGCTGCCACCAGTGGTTCCGTTTTGAGAGAAACAGAAATGACAGAAAAACGAAGCGAGAACGGATGCAAGGAGGAGCGAGCACTTAGCTGGTTATGTGGTGGTTGTGTGCAATGAGCAGGTGAAGCATGTGCCGGCACCACCAGGTGTTGTCTGCTGCTGCCAGTGGCTTGAGGCATGAGGAGAACGCTGATGCTGCCCCCCGTCCGTCCGTCTGCCACTGCTCCTCGCGATGAGGCCTGGAAGCGGGGGAGGGGAGGGGAGGGGGAGGCGAGGGGTGCACAAGGAGAGGCAGTGAGTGGGATGGGATGGAGACACAGAGCGGGAGAGAATGCAAGAAAGCGTGGTAAATTGAAGAAGGGCGAAAGGAGGGCCACTGGTGGACGCACACTCACAAGCCACAGACTATGGTCTATAGCAAAGGGCTCTACCTGGAAAAAGGCTTTACCTAGGGGGGGGCTTTACCTGTAATGGGGAAGGTCTGTGGGCTGTTTCCTGTGCTGCCACCAGTGGCCCCGTTTTGAGAGAAGCCGGAATGATAAGAAAACGAACCCAGGGCTTACGATAAAGATTAGTCAGCTGTGGCGGAAGTCGACGTTGGATGGCGGACGTTGACAGGTTTTCGGATGCTCAACTGCCTGTAAACAGAATAAAAAATCATGGAATCAGAAATTGATAGAATTATGCAACAAACGGTGGCTAAAAACATTAAAGTCACTACCTTTCCCCGGAGAACTCGTCGTGGTACTGTGTAGTTTCGGCGTTTCAACGAAGATGCTATTTGAGGTTGGGAGTTGGCCAGCTACAGCAGACATTGATAGCGGACTGACGATGTTCCATTGCCTGCAGCAGAAGATTACGCACGTCAGAAACTGGCAAAAAACGACGACGAATGAATAGAAACCGCAAGCTGAAATACAGCAGACTAAGAAATCACCTGTGTCAGAGCACATCGAAGCTCCGCGAAACCAGCAGCGAGACTACGAAATGATCCTCCTGATGCGCGTGAGGCTTGTCACTAATGGCGTACGTGAACGAGCTGAGACAGTTGCATCTACGACTACGTTTGAGTTCGAGAGGATCGAGCACAATGTTCAAATGAATGTGCGAATGTCTTAAAACGAGGGTCTAGATTTGACAAGCGGGGGTTCAGAAGTTTTTGTTTTGAACCAGGCTTGCCAGCGCGAAAGTGTTGGCCAACGAAAACCTGGATTTCGTGCGGACACTTTTCCTCCGCAGTAACAGTTCGCCAGGGTTTTGGGTTTCGGGTGGCAAATGTGCACCGTCGCTTTAACTGACTGGTGGAAATGTCGCTCTGCGAAACCCCTGCTCGAAATGTCGTTGGAATGTCGTTGGTCGAAAAAATCCTGGTTGGAATGTCGTTGGTCGAAAATGCCTGGCGTGATTGGAATTCCACAGCCAACCCCGAATGAGTGAGGTGGACTGGGGGTGTGGGGCTCAACTCTCGCGGTTCGCTGGACGACTACCGAAAGAAGACAAAAAGGAGGGGTACCTCCTTGATTTAGGCCGCGCGGCTCCAAAAGGGTGCGGACATTGGGGTTTGGTTTCTGGAGGGATGGCCGTTGGCAGCACAAAAGGGGCGGCTCCTCTCATACCTCCCTTGTCTCCTCCTCCCCTGCCTTTCACCCTGCAGTTGATCACAAGATAGCACGGGAGTGGCAGCAGCAGCAATATCAGCAAGGGACAACAAGCAGTGGCGAATCAACTGAGCCTTCTTTCCGCGGTATGTTCCTCATCCCCTCCCTTCCCGCTTCTCCTTAAAGCTCTATGCTCCATCCACTCTCTCGTCCTTCCTCCCCTCTGCTTCACGCCGCCTTCTCTCCTCTCATATCCTCCCTGCGCCGCCGTCTGACAAACAGGCACGGCAGTAGTGGCATGGGACGGTCTACAGGCGAGGCCAAGTCAATCGCATCGTCATCTTATGGTAGTGCTGCTCGCTCAACAATCTTATTTTCTGCCCCCAAATTCCCCTTGTCAGCCTCTCTGTTGCATCTCCACTCCGTTTCTCGTTTCTTCTCCCTTTGCTCCTCTTCCTTCAGCTGCCTTATTTCTTATTTATCCTCTTCTCGTTCTTCACATTCCTTATTTCTGGACTCTTCCTCTCCTCTTTCTTCACATGCCTTTTTTCCCTCGTGTTTTCTCCTTCAGGTGTGATCAGCAGCAGTGGGCGAGCAACATTTTGGCAGCAGCATTGGAGAAGGGGGGTGTACACGAATCGCACGCGCTTTGAAGCCTTTTCTTGTGGTGGGTTTCAGCACCCACCCCTTTTCTCTTCTGCACCACACGTTCATGGTGCGCCAATACCCCTTCCAACCCCACACTTCCTGTCCATGTCTCACAGTTCTTTGCATTTCATGCCCGTCTCTCTCTCTGCCCCACAACACATTTCCATGTCGTTGTTTTTATTACAATAATGGACCCAGACGTTCCATCGTTAGCCTTCCACATGCTCCAATCTCTCTCTTCGCCATTCATGTGCCTATCTCTCTCTCGCTGCTTCTTTTGGGTGTGTTGTTGACTTGACAGGATTGGATGGTGAGGCGGGGATTGCGCTTGCCTGGTGGAGCCAACTGGAGTGGCCAATTGGTGAAGAGCTCATCGCTGTTTGTGAAGTGAGAAATAGCAACCGAACACAGACTGAACCCCAGACACAGCATATCATATCATATCATATCATATCATAACGTATCTGTACGTTGTGTAGGTATCCAAATCATGTATTTCATGTACCCCAATCCGACAGCACCCATCATTTCATGTCCTATCTGACTTCACTATGTCTGCCTTACCGCCTCCTCTCGTGTGCGTGCAGGACAAGTGAACAGGTCTGGGATACCATACCACTGCAGCAGCTCCGTTTTGAAGCTGAGGACCACGTGCTTGCAAGACGGAAGATGAACATATATATGAGCAAATAGAAGTAGATAGGCCATATAGAGTAGTAACACTCTCAGGTATGGTACCCCCCCCTCTCCTCCTTGACCTTCCAAGCTAGGAGTAGATAGGCTATCTCTAGTAACACTCTCAGGTATGGTACCCCCCCCTCTCCTCCTTGACCTTCCAAGCTAGGAGTAGATAGGCTATCTCTAGTAACACCCTCAGGTATGGTATCCCCCCCTCTCCTCCTCCTTGACCAACCCACCCACCCCACCTTACTCCATCCTATCCCGTCTCCTCCCCTCTCCTCCAACCTCCCTCCCCCTTCGTAGGAATTTCCACCCTCCCCTCCCCTCTCCCCCTGACCCGAATCCCACCCGCTGCGTTGCCCCTCCCATCCCCATCCATTCCCCTGCGGGCCACCTCCCTCTGCGACCAGCACCCCATGTGACCCACCCACCTCAGCAACACCCAGCGTAGGACTAACACAGGGCTAAACACAGGGCTGAACACAGGGTGACTACAGGGCTAATCACAGGGCTGACCACAGGGCTAATCACAGGGCTGACCACAGGTCTGTCACATGGCACACTTAACACTGGGATTGTGACCCATGGCACGCTAAACACAGGGATTGTGACTCATGGCACGCTAAACACAGGGATTGTGACTCTTGGCATGCTAACCACAAGGCTTGCTAGCTAAATATATGGAAAAAGAGGAAGAGAAAATGGTTTTCATGCCGTACTTGCTTAGTGAGCAGTACTGGGTAGTTTGTTCAGTCTCAACTCAACAGTATGGCATAAAAAAAAACCTGTATTAAAACCTATAACTACTAGGCAAGGAAACACAAGCCAAGACACTAAGATACGGTACTACTCTCTTCCAACCTGACCATGGCAGTCCACAGATCTCCAGGCCAGTGCATGCCATCCAACCTAATCCCCCCTGCTACTCGCATGGCATGGCTTGGCAACTTCTGCTCATGCCATTTGTAGGTCAACTGACAACTCTTCCCCCCCCTCTCAGCACCTACAGCCCACCCAACCCAACTCTCTAATCCTGCTTTGGAAAAATACCATAAAACAAGTACGGTAGGCAGAGAGGTGCACCGTACAAGGTGCACAGAGGTGCCAACACAGAGAATGAAAACATAACAGTAGGCAGAATGGTGAGGGCAAAGCAACAACATAGAAACCTGAATGAAGGGACAAGACAACCCCACCATACCCTCATACCATAAAAAAACACCACAAAATCTCGGGTGCGGTCACAAACAATCGAGGAGCGGATACAAGCCCATGGCTTCAGATAGAGGCGCATGCTCCTATAATAGGCCTGCAGCCTGCGCTTATATCCAGGGTTACAGTGTATCAATCAGCACAATGGCATTGGCTTCAGCACAATATTCTGCTACCGCATGTGCATTCCACATCAAAGCCTATTTTCTCTTCCCCCTGCCTCGCCCTCTCGTGGCTTTTCCTTTACCTCCTGCTGCAGCTGACGCCTTTCCCTTCCCTCCACCCCTTCCTCTGCCAGCCGCTGCTGCTGCTGCAGCTCCTCTCCCCTTCTTCGCCCCTGCACTGCCTCCCTTCCCACCCTTCCCTTTCCTCTTCTTTGATGCACTCTCCTCCTCCTCTTCCTCCTCACTATCCACCTCCTCCACTTCCTCGTCCTCTTCCTCCTCCGCTCCCTCCTCATCCCCACCCTCCTCTTCCACCACAGCCTCTTCTCTCTCCTCCTTTTTCCGTGCCCTCCCAGTGCCCGCCGCCTTGCCTTTGCCAGCAGCCTTTTGTGAGATGGTGTCAGACTCAGGCGTGAACAGTGGGAGCTGAAGGAAGGAAGGAACAAGGGGCGGGGGTAAAAGGGGTAAAAGGAAGTGAGAACGCTGAGTGAGATGAGAGGTCAATGTCAAATGTGAACAGTGGGATCTGACGAGAGGGGGGGTGATAAAGGGGTGAAGCGGAGGGGACTTGAGGGGAAGTGGATTGGAAGCGGGAATGTGTACTACCTGTGCAAATACGTTCTTTCAAATACATACATTTTCAGACTGTAATGCCCTGTGTTGTTGAAACACCTCGCACTCACCTAACGTGACCATTACTCGACCGTGATCTACCCATCCTCCCTCAATTTCTCCCTCCACCCATCCCACCCCCCCTCCCTCCTTCCCTCCTCCCTTCCTCCCCTGCCTGCTCTCACTCACCGCTGCCAGCAGCTTCTCGGCCTTGCTGCGCTGCTCTGCACTCGCACCAGGAGCTCCTGTGCGGGACACCAGGTGCAGGAAGAAACCCACTCCGCCTGCCACCCTGCACGGATGCACACGCGGAGAGAGGGGCGTAGGGAGGAGCAGGGCGGGAGTTGGAGGGGAAGGGAAGGCAATGGGAGGAACGAATGGGTGGTGAAGGAGAGTAGTGAGAAGACGGATAAAGGATGAATGGGCTGTATGAATGAGAAGCAAGAATGGCTCAGAGCATGACAGGAAGAAAGAAAAGAGTGGGCACACTCTGACTGGGTGGTGCTTCTTTCTCCATCCAAAGTGTTTAGCGTGTACATGGTTCCACATGATCCAGGAAACACAGCTGGTGCAGCTGTATGGTGCTGGCCCCATTGTGTGAATGTGTGACGACTTACTGTATCGTGTTGCTCCCATCCCATTGTGTGACGACTTACTGTATCGTGTTGGTCCCATCCCATTGTGTGACAACTTACTGTATCGTGTTGGTCCCATCCCATTGTGTGACGACTTACTGAATCGTGTTGGTCCCATCCCATTGTGTGACGACTTACTGTATCATGTTGGTCCCATTGTGTGACGACTTACTGTATCGTGTTGGTCCCATTGTATGACGACTTACTGTATCGAGTGAATGCCTTCGAGTGAGTCGATCTTCTTAGGGTTGGCTGACGATCTGCGGAGAGGAGAGGAGAGGAGAGGAGAGGAGAGGAGAGGAGAGGAGAGGAGAGGAGAGGAGAGGAGAGGAGAGGAGCAGGTGAGTGGATGGGGGATACGAAGAGCAAGGCAGCTTTGTGCACGGAGTACAGGGAGGGCCTGGATCTATCGTGGAGACTTGTCAGTAAACTCACTTCAACTCACAATGTACCCTGGAAATCAAGGGCAAGGCACGCCTCATCTCAGCACTCACTTGGTGCCTTTCGGTCCGTATCCCAGCTCCCCATGTGATAAGATGATTCCTGAGAAACCTCAACAACCGTCTCATGGCATGGCTCGAATCCCAAGGCCTACCGACACTCACTGGGTGCCTTTGGGTCCGTAGCCCAGCTCCCCATGCTGCGCCACTTTCCATGAGGCCTCACCTGGACCTATCAGAAGGACTCACTTGGCGCCTTTGGGTCCGTAGCCCAGCTCCCCGTGCTGCGCCATGCCCCAGGAGATGGTGGAGGCATCAGCAGCAACGCACGAGGTGGTGGCGCCACACGCCATGCTGCGGATGTGCCACCCGCTGAGGTCCAGCAGCGGCTTGGGGTACATAAAGCAGTCTCCCGTCTGCTTCACCTTGCCCCACACGTACATCTGCCCGCCGCCTGTTGTGGGGATGGGAGGGGGGGTGGTTGGGGAATGGAGGAAGGGGGGGTGGGGGATTGGGAGGATGAGGGCACGGGAGGAGTGAGGAGGAGATGGGGAGCGAGTTGGAGTAGGGAGAATGGCTGATGAAGGCTCTACAGCCGATGGTTATGCTGCAGGGGCGGGGAGCGAGAGACATGAAAGCACCCGCTCAGGTCCAGCAGCGGCTTGGGGTACATAAAGCAGTCTCCCGTCTGCTTCACCTTGCCCCACACGTACATCTGCCCGCCGCCTGTTGTGGGTGGGGGGGGGGAGGGTGGGGGATGGAGGAAGGGGAGATGGGGGGGATGGGGGAGTGAAGAGGATGTGAGATGAAAGACGGAGCAGGGAGAAAGGGCTGATGCTGCAGGGTTGGGGAAGCGAGGGATGGGAAGGCAGCCGCTGAGGTCCAGCAGCGGCTTGGGGGACATCCATGTGCATCCAGCAGTCTCCCGTCTGCTTCACCTTTCCCCACACGTACATCTGCCCGCCACCTGTTGTGGGGATGGGAGGGGAGGGGAAGAAGGGGGCGATGGGGGTGGAAAGGAGTAGATGGGAGGAGGGTAGGGGCAGGGAGCAATGGTTGATCACACACCGCTAAACAATTGGTGGGTATGAGTTGAGGAGGCGGGAGTTGTGAAGGAGAGTATGTCGTTAGCCCATTCTCCCTTACGTGAAGGAGGTGCTGCAGGGGCGGCAAAGCAAGAGTTGAAAAGGCGACAAGGCACGCACACCCCACCACCATTCTCTCGCTCCTACCACCAATCCCTCCCTCTCCCTCTCCCTCTCGCACTCTCTCTCACCAGCCGTGCAGGCAGAGAAGGCCCCGCCAGCAGCGACGACAGCGGAGGCGGGCAGGGTGTTCTGGCGCTGAAACACGTCCACCAGGCGCGGCCGCCACTCGTCCTTCTGCTTCTTGTGCCCCAGCCGCCCAAACCCTCCAAACCCCCACGTGAAGACAAAGCCCTTGGAGTCCACTGCCACTGCCATGCCATGCCATGCCATGCCATGCCATTGCCATTGCCATTGCCAGAGGGATGAATGGATAACTGCGTGAGTGAGGAAAAAAACGCACAATCATCAAATCAGGACAAGACATACGCGAAGGAGCAAAATTTCTGAACGTGCGCACTTTAAACGCACACTTCTCCCCTTCCCTACTCACTCTCTCTTTGCAACCCCTTACGTCCCAGTCTCTCTCTTCCTTTGCTATCTCTGCTCCTTCTGGGTGTCGAATGCTGTGCCCACACCCTTCCTGCACCTGCTCATACCAGTGTGGTTAATCCCGCACGCCAGCTTGCACATCTCCCGGCCTGCCAGAGCAGCCACTGCCCGGGGCGTGGGCTGCGGGGCATACACGAGCTTCACGGCCGAGTCCTTGGCATTGTACTGCACGAGCCATGGGGGGAAGGGAAGGGGAGAGGGGACCAGAGGGAAGCGGTTGAGGGAGAAGCACGTGGTGTGGGCTGAGGGGCGTGCACCAGCTTCAGGGGCGAGTCCTTGGCGTTGTACTGCCACGCACATGGGTGCGCACACACACATTGGGGTAAACAACGGGGAAGGCAGGGTGTGGGGGGAAGAAGGAATGCATGGATTGAAGAACACACGAGTGCCAGCTTCAGGGGCGAGTCCTTGGCGTTGTACTGCCATGCACACACACACATTGAGGTAGGAGGAGGGGGTGGGGGAATGGAGGAGGTGAGGTACGGGGAGGTGAGGTACGGAGAGGTGAGGTACGGGGAGGTGAGGTACGGAGAGGTGAGGTACGGGGAGGTGAGGTACGGAGAGGTGCAAGAAAGACACGGGAGGGAGCTGGATCACGGGCTGGTGATGGGGATCCAGTAGCACGCTAACTAAAGGGCTGCTTGCATCCCGAGGCCCTTATGCGTGGGGCGGAAGGAGGAGGAGCGGGAGGAGGGGGGGGGGGAGGGGGGGGGTGGTGGTGGTGGTGGAGGGCACTGCATGCATCCCAATGGCATGGAGCTCTGATGCGTGGAAAATCTGCCCCCGCACCTCATTGTACTGCGGTGCAATGGCCATGCCATGGCCCAGCTTCCCGTACTGCGATTACTCGACTTTTTAGTCGGCTCGGAAAGAACAGTTCGAGTGGACTCAGAGAGCACACACCACGTACCTCGTTGTCAGTACCATGGCCCAATTGCCCGTACTGCGGCAAGCCTGCTGTGAACAGGTTGGGCGGAGAGGGCGGCTCTGGGGGCTCTGCACCACCACCCGCTCCTCCCCCTGCTGCTGCTGCTGCTTTGGTGGTGGTGGCATCGTTGGAAGGAGGGGTGGTGGCGGTGGTGGTGGAGGGGTCGGGGTGGGTGATCCAGCAGGAGAACTCGCCCCCGCATGCCACGGCACGCACTCGCTTCACTGCACTCAGTACTGGCTTCTTCTCTTGCTCTGTGGGGACAGGATTGCGGAGAGGGGCGAGGAGCACGAGGGAGGAACGGAGAGAGGGAGGGAGGGAGGGAGGGATTGAGGGACGGAGGAGGAGGGGGGTTAGGGGTTTTGATTATGGAGGCGGAAGGGGTTGTGAGAGGAGAGGAACAAGGGACAGGAGCATGGTAAGGGCTTCGAAGACGTGTCAATATATGAAGGAGGAGAGGAACGAGGCACAGGAACAGGTGAGGGAAGGGGAAAAATGAAGCGATGTGGAGTGAAAGCTGAGGGAGGAGTGAAGGGGGGAGAGGGAGGAAAGGAAGAAGAGGGAGGAGCGGGGAGGAGGGGGAGGAGCGGGGAGGAGAGGGAGGGGGAGAGACCTATTTTGAGGGAGCCTGTGCCGAGCTGGCCGTACTTGTTGGACCCCCACGCCCATGCACTGCAGGCAGGTAGGTGGTAGCAGGAATGAGGGCGTTGGAGAGAGGGAGAGGGAGAGGGAGAGGTGGAGGGGAAGGGGTGAGGAGATAAGGAGAAAAAAGGTGTAAAAGAAGAAGGGTATGAAGCGAGCATGTGGTTGGTTGCTTGTTGGCATGGTTGGTTTGGTGTGGTGTGAACCGGATCGTGCGGATTTCGATTCAAAGTGCGGGTTGCTGGAAGAGAGGGGAAGGGTCGTGGATGCTTCTGCTGCGAAAAGCAGTCTTACCACCCACCCACCCGTGCCCATGCCCCAAACTTGCACGCATGGCCACGTGTCCTCCCATCCACCGCTGTGCCCCCTTCCCCATCCCCTCCCCCATCCCCTCCCCCAGCATGCATGCACGAAAAGTGAGCCCCAGCATGCATGCGTGCGTGCGTGCATTATGCATACCTGCCGTCGTCAGCCACAGCAAGGGAATGGTTGCGCCCCGATGCCACTGCCACTATTCTCTTGCTGCGGGCAGGAAGGGGGGGAGGCGGGGCATAGAGGGAGGAAAGGAAGATCCGGGGAGGCAGGGAGGCAGGGAGGCAGGGAAGCAGGGAAGCAGGGAAGCAGGGAAGCAGGGAAGTAGGGAGGTAGGGAGGATGGGATTTGCAGGGGTGCCTGGGTGGCCCGACGACTTGCATAAATTACAAATGAGAGAGACGCTTGGCAGAGCGGGTTGAGAGGCGTGCAGTGGGATGGGAAGGTGTGGTGAGGAGGGAGAACTCAGGGGACGGGGAGAGAGGTGCTGGGACGTGGTTGGGTGGGATCGGAAGGCCTGGGGGGGAGGAGGGACCTTGAGAATTCGTTTTTGAAAAGGAGAGAGGTGAGTGAGAGGTGGTGGGTGAGAGGTGGTGGGTAGTTGGGGTGCTTAGATGTCATCTCACCCTGCGAGGGCTTCGATGATGGTGGGCTGATTGAGGTCTGATTGATGGCCATGCCCCAGCTGCCCGCACTGCATGCATGCACACATGCACGCACACACGCATGCACACACGCATGCACACACGCATGCACACACGCATGCACACACGCACACATGCACGCACGCATGCACACATGCACACATGCACGCACGCATGCACACACGCATGCACACACACACGCATGCACACACACACGCATGCACACATGCATGCACACACACACGCATGCACACATGCATGCACACACACATGCACACATGCATGCACACACGCATGCACACACACATGCACACATGCATGCACACACGCATGCACACACGCATGCACACAGGCATTCACACACACATGCACACACACACGCATGCACACATGCATGCACACACACACGCATGCACACATGCATGCACACACACACGCATGCACACATGCATGCACACACACATGCACACATGCATGCACACACGCATGCACACACGCATGCACACACGCATGCACACACACATACACACATGCATGCACACACACACGCATGCACACATGCATGCACACACACATGCACACATGCATGCACACACGCATGCACACACACATGCACACATGCATGCACACACGCATGCACACACGCATGCACACAGGCATTCACACACACATGCACACACACACGCATGCACACATGCATGCACACACACACGCATGCACACATGCATGCACACACACACGCATGCACACATGCATGCACACACACACGCATGCACACATGCATGCACACACACATGCACACATGCATGCACACACGCATGCACACACGCATGCACACACGCATGCACACATGCATGCACACACACATGCACACACACATGCACACATGCATGCACATACGCATGCACACACACACGCATGCACGCACATGCACACACACATGCACAAACACATGCACGCACGCATGCGCACACACATGCACGCACGCGCATGCACGCACACATGCACAAACACATGCACGCACACATGCACAAACACATGCACAAACACATGCACACCAGGGGTAGGAGCACACAATTATAGTCGCATCTATCAGCAGTTGAACGCACTGGATGCATGAACACACCCAAGTGTATGAACGCATGGGTGCACGAAAGCAAGGGCGCATGGCGGATACACACACACACACACACACACACACACACACACACACACACACACACACACACACACACACACACACACACACACCTGCAGCCGCTAAATACTTTGTACTTTTGAACCTTGCAGCGCTGATATCATAGAAAACCGATATCCCGCTCTCCCCTCAAAAGCTACCATCCAACACTCCCCCCCTTTACCCCCAAAAAGGCCGTCCCCACCACTCCCGTCTTCCCCCGTTCGCCCCCGTTTCCCCCCGTTTCCCCCCGTTTCCCCCCGTTTCCCCCCGTTTCCCCCGTTCCCGCATTCCCCCCACCTCGTTCCGCCCCCAGGAGTAGCAGCGCCCGTCCGCATCCACCGCCAGGCAGTGCGCCGCCGCTGGGGGGAAGGGGGCGGGGGGACGGGGAAAAAGGAGGAGGGGGCCAGGAAGGGGGGGGAAGCGGAAGGGGGAAGGCGTAAGCTAGAAGCAGGGAAGTGGGAGGAGGGGAACCAGCATTGGAAGTCTCAGAGGCGGAGTCTCAGAGGCGGAGTGAGGGTACGAGAGGACGCACAACCGTTCTTGCATGAACGCACCCCTGCGTGACTGCATTTTCTCACACTTTCTCAGATTCACATTTCCTCACATTCTCTCAAGTTCACGTTTTCTCGCATTCACAGTCGCGAAGATCTCATGCAGATTCTAACCAGTTATGGGACATCGAATCAGTTTCACCGCATGGCTGCAGTGCCTAACGTGAGTTAACGCAGTGACCGTTGCGCGAGACGAAAGCAACGACAGAGAGCCGGATTCATGGATTCGCCCAGAGGAGAATCTCCCGCTGCAGCTACACGCGAAGCGCACTACAGTTCCTGTTGCAGTCGTTTCTCAAAGGACTTTGAGAACACTACACAAACGCCGCCAGCAGCATTACTACGGTTCCCTTCCCGAACACCAAGCATACCGCAGCCAGTAGCGACGGAAACGATTCGAACGTCTTTCAGCGGTGCGAGTCGGTGCGGCTCGGTGAGGAGCGGGAATCGGATGTCCTCGGCTGCTTTGCCCTTGTTCTTGGTCTTGTTCTCTGATCGCCCGATCGTCTGCCAGTCCGTTGAGCCGCAGAATAGCACCTCTCCTGTCATTGGCTCTGGATCCGTCGCGTCGCCAGCATTCTCATCTTTCGCCGCCATTTGCGGAATGGAAAGTTTTTTTTTTGCGCGGAATGTGGAGCTAATGGGGGATAGTTTTGGCGGCACGCAGGATTCAGGGGAGGAGATGGTGAGATGGAACCATTATTTCGGTTTTAGTGAACTCGGTTACTAGCAGTCAGATCTGTGCAAGTGTGCACTTTGCCATGTCTGAATGTATATGTATTATTCTAGACTTTTTAGCAAAATGGATTGGATCGTTACAATGTACAAGAGCCTTGAAAGGCCAGAATGCCCAGTGGCCACACTATTGGAATATATTTGCAGCAAATAAGGGCGCGTGTGGCGAATTTGAGAAAGTTTATGTTTTTAGGTCGAATGTAGCAGTTGAACAAAACTCGACTTTCCTTGCAGTGAAGTTCGAATCTTGGGTGTCCAACACAGACGATGTCAGAATCCCAACCGCTAGACCATTGGGATAAAAGGGCTTGTTAAAGCTGCGGTCTACATTCTAAAAGTGATTTTCTGGGTCTAATCTAAGTGATAACCCTTTGGCTCAATATGATTCGAGAGCGAATTGAGCTTCGACCCCAAACACCAGTGCGAGGAATTCAAACAAAGTTGGCGATGCAAACCAATTTCGCGATTGGATTCAGGTGGGGGAATACACTGGCGGGAAGGCGGAATTTTCAGCGCCAACCACAAACAACCATGCGGAAAAAATTGCGCCCACCCCGCTCCCTCCTTCCGCCTCGATCGTTCGTTTCTTCTGGAGAGTCTGCTACCCTGTTTTCAAGTGATAAACCAGGGCCTGTCCCTTGAGGTATGTAGACCGCAGATTTAAGTAGCGGGTCAGTGCGCCCATAACCCCCCAGGCCAGCGAGCCTGTAACCCTTCCCTAGGATCAATCGGGCATCCACAGTGCAGATCTACTGACACCACACGACACTGGGAGGCCCAGGACTGAGCACAGTGGCAACGGCCTACATGTGCATACACCGGGATTCGAACCCGAGACCCCTCTGATACCATGTCGATATTGGGTAGGAAGGAATGATTGAATTAGGTAAGAGGGAGGGGGTACAAGGATGTCGAGAGAGTTGGGTTGTACCCTCTAAGGTGTGACCCCTACACAACCTAGAGTAAGATGAACAGAACAATATATTTTGACACACCCCTTTAGGTGAAGTAGGGGATAGCCAAACCTAACAGTGGTCACAAGACCAGTCAAGCAAGAGAACAAGCAAGGCAAAGCCCAGGGTGGATCTCAAGGACACCACACAATCTGAGCACAAGCAGGCGGCCACAAGGCCAGTTCACATGCAGATTTATAATAGCAAGGTAGTACACTGATCACAACCTAGCAAGAGTAAACATGCAGGTTTATATATCAAAGTACAAGACAAGATCAAGAGACAAGCAGTGTTGGTCCGTGTGGCCACGGACTAAGGCGAAGCTGAGAACGCTGCTGCAATACTTGCACGGCAAAGGAACGAAATGCAAAGCCCTTTGTTCTGCTCGCTAGTCTGACCAGGTAGCGCAGCACCCTCATAGCAGCCTGCCAATGCGCAGGGTGGTATCTCCTGGGCGCAACGTAGCGAGTCCGGATGCTGAGAGGGTACGGCAGTGTCAAATGTTAATGTTATGATACGCTGCAGTGAGGTACTCCCTAGAGAGTATAGCTTTTGTAGGATTCCTATTTGTACCCTTGCAAACCCTAATCCCAATCATTCCGTTGCATTCCTATTCTGAGATGGTATCACGAGTAGGTTAGATCCTCGTTCGTTCTCAGCTAGCCTCCGCGCCCTACGCGCCCTCCGTGCTCTCGCGCCCTCCGCGCCCTCCGCGCCCTCCTCGCGCCTAGCCCGCGCCCTCCCGCGCTGTCCAGCCCGTCGCGCGCCCTCCTTAGACCACCGCGCGCCCTCCCACACCGTTGCGCGCCCTCCTAAACCGTCGCGCGCCCTCCTTAGACCGCCGCGCGCCCTCCCTCACCGTCGCGTGCCCTCCTCAACCGTCGCGCGCCCTCCTTAGCCCGTCGCGTGCCCTCCCCTCCGCCTGTCGCGCGCCCTCCTCCGTCAACCTTCCCGCACACCTGCGTGCGCTTCCCGCACACCTGCGTGCGCTTCCCGCACACCTGCGTGCGCTTCCCGCACACCTGCGTGCGCTTCCCGCACACCAGCGTGCACTTATCGCACACCTGCGTGCGCTTACCGCACACCTGCGTGCGCTTACCGCATCCCTTTGTGCGCTTACTGCATCTCTCTCCCCTTCACCTGTGCCCCGGTCCCACGCCATTCCTACTGCACTTGGCTCCCGGCTCAGCGGCTGGCAGCCGCTCTTCTCTCCGGTAGCGCCACCTAGGTTCGGTTAGAGCCCCGCCCCACGACTATTTTCTCGCCGACTGTCTCTCGTCGGTTTCCCTACTGGCGTCCCTAGCCCTCCGTAGTTTTCCT